TTCTTAACCTTTAGCACTCTGCATTCTTAATATTACTTCAATTTCTACTGCATTCTTTTTTAAGGCCTCTCAATTGTAGTATCCTTATTGTTAATTTCACTCAGTTGTTTTCTGTTGCCATAGAATATGACAACACAACTATGAAATTCAAACACACTATTGTTCAGGGATCATTGTCACCTTCAGTGGTAGGATAAACTTTTTGTACAGCAAATGAAATCATATACAGAATGATAAAATAGCTTTGTCAAGACTTTCATATTTATGGTGCTAAACTTATTCAAAAATGTCTAAACTCTCAGCTGTATACAATCGTTTTCTCAGATTGATGGATAAATCTGGCTTTGAGTGAATGAAGCCTGTAGATCAAAGCAAAGACCATCTTTATTCAAATTTTGTCAACTGGTGTTACAGAATCGCAAAGAAGTGTGTCAAATAACAAATTATATCAGGTTGCAGACTTCCAACAAATAAAATGTAACTGAAAGAGAAAATAACATAAGATGTTGATGATCTACACTACTTCAAATAAATGGTTAGGAAGGAATAAGTAACAGAAAGAACAGTTACTGGATGTGAGAAACCTGTTTTTCTGAAAAAATTGCTTTAGTCAATGAATACCAAATGTTTTCATATAAGTGAATGACTAATATTAATTAATTATTATTATTATTTTTAGCCTACAATGTAAATCTATTAACAAATACAACAGAAAATAAAAGCTTTGAACACATTCTGAAAATATAAATGTAATATAAAACTGTAGTTTGGGCTTGTCCTCTCCTGAAATTATTAATTTGAAAATGTCTATCAACCAATGGGCATTCCATACCACATCCCAAATGAATCTGTCAATATAAGACAATGATCTCCTGAGGCCAATGTACTGATGCTGATGACATAGGTAGACATAGTTGGGATAAGAATGAACTTGAACAGAAAATCAATATCCTCTACCAAGTGTTCCAAGAAATAGAACAGGATAAACGCTTCCAAAACAGAAATTATGATCTGGAATTGGAATGAAAGCAGTGATGACACATACCCTGAATCTATCAAAAATTCAGGAGGTGGAATTAGTAAATACTAAACACTTCAAATACCTTGGCCTATGGATTAGTTATAACAAATTTGGTATAGGAGATTAAGAAAGAGAATATAGAATAAACTGTGCTAGACGTACTTACATCCAATACAACAAGTTGGTATAAAACCAAAATATCAACCTGAAAATTTGAGTCATGTTCTTTAATAGCCTGATCAGAGCAAGATTTTCATATGGTTGTCATGCATGGTGCCAGACTTGTTCAGAAATATCTAAACTTTCAATTGTATATACAACTGCTTTCTAAGATCAATGGTGAAAAAAGGCTTTGTGTGAATGATGCCAGAGGGTCTTGGCAAAAGTCATCCTTCTTTGAACATTGTAAAGAGGTGCTACAGAGTCACAAACAAATAACAGGTACTACATCAGTTGAAGATTATCAGCTACAATGACTAAAATAAAAGTTTAGGAAAGAACACCCCACCACCACCATTAATGAAAAAAGAACGTGCAATAAAAGCACCTGAAAAATTGTTTTAAAAGATTTTCTAAATTTCAATTGAAAATAGTACTGGCTGCTCAGTTAATGAATGCCAAATGTTTCCTTATAGGGAAACGAGTAATATTATCATTATGATCAGCAATATACAATGTCGTTTTGAACAGTCATTTAAGACCTGGCTGGTATGTACAGATGAAGCTTTTCACAATAGCAAAATTTTGTGAAGTGATATTTGATCATCATAGTCAAAAGATCTCCAATGAGTTGAAGATCAATAGGATTAGAACTATCACTTGAAAATGGAAGGAGCATAGCCTGACTATTGATGTACCTTGAAAACTATTTACAACTAAAGAAGAATTTCAGGTTTTGCAGATAGAGGCACAGAATTGATCAAGGTTACAATTTAGTTGCTAACTCTTCTGGATAGGACAGTATTCTTAAATTTCTAAAAATATTTCCTTTCTTGAAGCTGGGGTATATGATGATTTGTTTACACTAGTGCCCTCTATTTTCTTACAAATTCTGCTTTATTCTAAAATGATATATCATGATTTGATGAGACTAAAATTAAACACTTTGGTAGAAACATCACAAGAAAGGAGCACATGGCATACAAACAGAAAAATATCATCCTGACAAACATAACCATACAAGTAGGATGGTTTGGGGTCGTTTTTCCTTGATGTATGTTTGTAACACTTCGATCCTGGTTCACAACAAATAGCAACAGATGTTACCTTTTGTTGCAGTCAGCCCTGGTTTGATCAATGGAGTGATCTCTTTGATCCTGACCTGCCTTATCCCACATTGTGATTGATTTGATTATAAGGAGGCCAAGATCGATTCGTCGCAGTTATCTTTGTGTTAGGCTTTTCCAAATTGAGTGAAATCATACAATAAAATTGGAGAAAAAACAGCACTTGAAATATATATAAAAAATAATATTTTTATATCAATACTGCGTAGAATGGTTCTTTAGTTGTGTTTGCACACAGGTGTTTGTCAACCCAACCTGTTCCTAAATCAGACAACACTTGGGTAAGCTAGTAAGTTTTGACTTGCAGAGTTAGAAAAATTTGTTTTACTGTTTTAGTAAGTTTGGCTCAAGGTTGAAGTTGGAGGTTCTTGTGTTCGGCAGGAAATGTGGAATTGCTCAGCACCCTCTGCTGCTTCTCAGGTCTCAACTTGCAACTTTGACCAACTGTGGACTATCTGAATGGCTTTTGTGCATTCATTTTCATGGACTCCACACCAATGGATCTGAATTCATTTTAGGTTCCTTTAACCATGAAGAAGATGCACAAGTTTTGAGTGAAACCCTCTATTCAGGAAAAAAGAAAAACTCTCTAAAAACAAGCAACATGTTCTAGCATGAACAATAAATAATGATTGAGCAGAATATACCATAATTTCTTGGGTAGGAGAAGCAACAAGTCAAAATGGAAAAATGTTTATGACAAAAATTCTAATGAAGTCTTCAACATTAACTAAAGAGAAAATGTTAAAGAGAGGGAAGAGATGAAAGCCAATTCAAATTCTCAAGAAACATCGGATGCGCCTGTAACATCTGGCTCAAGAGTCTGCTGTTGGCAAACATTTATTGAATTCAGTCACTTGTAGGACTGGCTACTCTGAGCATTTCTTCTCTGTTCTGCACAAGGCACAGACAAGACTCCAGCTTAACAACAGCAGTTATTAATATACAATGTCTGACCCTGTGTAAGCAGAGACTATTAAAGCACAAACTCATTTTTGTTGAAACTGTAGCATATTCTAAGCTAAATTGAGGGAAAATATTTAATTTTTTTTCTGTCCCCTCCCCTTTTGTTTCTATTTTAAAATTCGTTTATTGAAAATAAATTTTTCTTTTCGTCAATTTAGTTTCATACTGATGATATCGATTTCTGAAGCTGAGTCTGTCGAAAGGTACCTAAAGTTGTTATTTTATTTGGTGTGATACTATTGTATCTTATTTTAGAAATAAACTATGATCCCTGTCTTAAAAATTATCTTATCTTGGTGTTGCTCCAGAAACTTGTTTAAAAATATATATATATATATATATATATATATATATATATGTGTGTGTGTAAAATGAAAAAGAAAACAAAGATTTGAAATTGTCATAGGATTTAAATTTTTTTTCTTTAAATTTATTAATAAACTGATAAAATTAGTTTTGTATTACTAATATATACATAAGCATATACAAAAATCTGCAAGAGTAATTGGTACTTTTTCTGGACAGCTAATACAAAGCTGCTTTTATACATTTTATTGTAGAAAATAGTTAAAAATGCATTACATGAAGGAGTACAAGAATTTATTTATAAGAAGCGGATTATTTGGCAGATTCCCAAATTTGAAAATCTTTCTTTCTGACTAGCACCGCTGTTACCATAATATTTGGATTGGTCTGTTCTTTGATTATAGTTGGTAAATTTAAGAAAAAAAAAATCAATCATAAATAGATTTATATAAGCTGACAAGTGCATTAAGTGATACTCTTGGGTAATAATGAACCTCCTTAACTCAGCATTGGTAACTGAATCTTAGATCTTGGTGCCCATCAATCCAATTCTCTCAGATGAGATAGGTACACTTCCTAGGTATTATGGAATTGACAAATACAAACTGACAAAGATGAGACATTATAGTCTAAAATGGAAACTAGTTTTCCTTCCTCTAACAGTCTGTAATAACAAGCTTTGCCATATTTGGTACCAATGGGAAAGCCTCACATTTCTTAAACATTTGCTCTATACTCTACCACTAAGTAATATTCACAAAAATTCTGATATTTTAGCATTGAAAGAGAAAAAACAAACTTCTACAAAAATGGATGAGCATTTGCTGGTTAACTTCCTAATTATTTCATATCAAACAACATTTTATAACAGAGGAAAAAAATCCATTTTTTTTTTTTTATTCCAAACAATTTACTTTTACTCAGCGTCATATATTTCAGCTTTTGGATGTTAATTCCTGAAAAAGGACGGACGTTTTTGAAGATGAAAAATAACAGAATAGTCATTTTCCTCCTTTTAAGTTTAAGCCCATAAAATCTATTAATAATGGCTTTGGATTTAAATTTAAGTTTAGCAAGAATTAAGATTAAATTTTGGCTCATAAATGTCATTTTATTTTTTCTTATAAATCACAATAGCATGGAGAGCAAGGCTGCCTATGAGAGGATGCTTGTTTGGCATATAAATGTATATGTAGGCTATAATTAGATGTGAATGCTGAACAACAAATTATTTTGCATTTTAGAGTTTCTTTCTTTAAACAATTTTGTGAACTTTCAGATTTCCTCTTTCCAAAGCTGACCTAAATAATCAATGCCTTAAACTATTTGAGAATTTTTTACAATTTTATTACCGTTGATGAGAGGGTGTATATGTATTAAAATCACCATTTTTTTCCTTTTAAATAATATTCTTATCTGTTTTAATATGTAATAATGGTTTCAATGTTTCCACTACCTTGCTCAGAATAAACATGAACCTGTTTACCTAAGCTACTGTTATAAACTTGACCAACATCAAACTTTTCATTGGCCAATTGGATGCATTCATTCACTGTATCTTTATCACTGGCAGAATCTGAACAAAAAAATAAGAACATAGCATAAATAAAATAATTTCTGGTAAATAAACATGCAAATTTTTTCAACCTAATATCATTGAAATGAAGAATAAAACCATATAAAACATTTTTAACATTAAATTTATATATATTAAAGTCTGGGACACTAAAAATAGCACTTAATGAAATTTCATCAATAAATGCCAATAAATCGAATTTTGTCAAACAAGTTAGTGAAAAAAAATTATTTCTTGGCATGACATATTTATTTGGAGCTACTGCAGATATGATTTAAGATACTTGAGATAAAGAATGATTTAAAGAGATTAAAATTTTTTTATCTTATCCATTATGTTGATCTTAATAAAGATCAACATAATGGATAAGATAAAAAAATTTTAAAAAATAAAATATTTATAAAATATTTTCTCTTTTATTCTCCTTATTATAACAATGAAGATTATATCTTTCAAAACAGGAATTACTAGAATTAAATTAATCACTAACTGTTGATTAATGTCCTAAATGAATGTCTGACTATAACAGAAAAACAAGTATTTCTGATAGTGTGGAAAAAAAGGAAATAAGATCCATTGTAAAAATCAGGTAAATGATGGTTGTCAGATGTGAATGCATTTTCATATGCAATAAAATCTACTTACATGTTTGCCCATCTTTTGGTTTATATTTAGACAAGCTTATTAACGGCAGGGGTAGAAACCCTGGCATAAGTGGGATTACTTGGAGCTGACCCTTAAATTTGGAGTCATTCAGTGAGAAAACTCCTAAAAAAAATAAAATTAAATAAAAGTAGCTTAAAAAGAAATCAATACAATGATCTTGTATCATTGCCATCAATTTTTAATTTCAAAACAATTTTAACTAAAAAAATTTATAAGGGATTTTGATTAATAAATTTGCTTTTATTAAAACCATGTATTCAATTTTAATTAAAACACAACCTTGATTTTTATTGTTGACTAAAATCTCTGGATTTGAATTAAAAGTAGTATTTTTTATTTGAAAGAAAATACAAACGAAATGGAAAAATAAAATGTGATCTTGGTATTAAAAGTTTACAAGCCCTAAACTGATCTTTGTTTCTCTGAGTTTGGGATCAAACTGTGCCAGTGGACAGCCTAATTCCCAAATAGTAAAAAGGAGGACAGTATAAAAGATTATATTTGAGGTCATGTAGTTAATTCATAAAGGATTAAAAAGCAAGTAAAGAATAATTAGGTATTCTATGAAGGGATTTAATAAGTTATAAAATAATTAGTTAATATTTGCAAGTTAAAAATAATGAAAAGACAAAAAAAAATAAAATTTCAGATGTAAATTGTTACCTGTGACTTTTCCACAGACAGCCCACAGTAAGTGATCAACAACCACTTCATACAACAATTGTGTGTTGTTGGCTGATTCTGATTTGCTAGTTGTGGTCACACAAAAGTCCAAGTGGCATACAGTACCCACTTTACATTGCTTTTGGTCATTCCCAGGCAGAATTGTTGATGTGATGATGTAAAGAGTCTGGAAGGATTATAACCAACACAGTCATAAAAATCTGAACCCAGGAGGAGGAGGAGGAAAGTTTTATAAATCCCACAGAAAAAAAAATGAAACAAAATAAGCATGTTTTGTATATTAGAAGCATTTAAAAAAATACAATTCTAGGAAACAAATTATAGTTTTTTTATTCTAAGCAACACTTCTTTTTAACTTTTCTAAAATAAGGGGAATTTTAAAGCAATATACAAAACTATTAAGGATTATTATAACAGTATAACAGACTGTACAAATCGCTTGTAGTCTCCATTCTCACATATCAATGTGAAATGTAGACACTGCTGGTAGAAACAGAGAGAAAACTCCTTGGCATCTTCTATTAGAACCAATGAATTTGTGCAGAAAAGGGTTGAAAGTTTTGTGGGCCTCCAGGAACCCCTTCTCGTCACTATCAAACGGAGAAAAATGGCTTGGTTTGGACATGTTACAAGGCATGACAACCTGTGCAAGACCATCATGCAAGGCACCGTTGAAGGTGGATGTAGGAGAGGACGCCAACGCGATAACTGGTTGGAGAACATCAAACAATGGACAAGTATGACTATAGAATTCCTGTTGTTGATAGATTGTTGTGAAGGAGATTCAGTGTGGCTTCTGCATTCGGATCCCCCCCCCACCACCACCTACAATTACAAAAATCAAGGGGATGATGGTGATGATGATAATAACATTATTAAACATTTTCAATGAAGTGTCTTTTTAAACTCATGAAGATTACACATTGCCTGATGAATTGTTATAAACTTCATATTCTAGTGAGTCAATTCTGAGTGGAAATTGTGAGAAATTAGAGCCTTTAATCTAATATCTGCTGATGAGTGCAGGAGGACTAGCTGATTATTATTTTCTTCTTCCATTGTGAACTGGATCCAGGATTATTTGTAAAGCTTCCTGGTGAGGCCAGAGTATGGTGGTGTCATCTATGTATCTCAGCCATACTGTTGGCTTCAATGCTATCATTCCCAAAGACAGTTTGAAAATCCATGAAAGTTACCCAGATTGACAAGCACCTGATGATGGCTGGAGGGCACAACAGTCAAAATGTTGTGATAATAACAAACATGAGGACAATATGCAGGGAATATAGGGTTCTTGACATGTGTGTCTCAAAACAGATGATACTGTAAAGAAAATCATACCTGTGGTCAAAGATATGCAATCTGTAAGTAACAAGAAAGTGTCTAATAAAATGATTATGTTGTAACTTTATGTAAATAATCATAAGTAGAACAACATTCAGTTGGGAGAGCAGTTTCACTTCTTTCAACACTTTAGATTCTTCAGAGCAAAAAAACAAAAAGAAAAAAAAAACAGTAAAGACCTGACACTAATATATTTCGGTCTCTTCTAATTTACTGGTATATGGGTAAGGTAGATACACAGCACAATATAAACAGATAATCAAAGACACCAGATTTTTTAGAGCCTGAGATTTTTGAAAATATTGTCTGAATACTTCATTAAATATCCTAGACCTTATTTAATCATAATAAATGTCAGAGTTAATTGAAAAGAATAATATCAAGAAAGATTAATTTGTTAATGAATTCCATTTCAATGTTAAATATTCAGCAATTAGTATTGCTGTTTCTTACCTGTAAATTGATCATGTGGATGTTGTAAACAGATAATCTAGAGAGATCATCTTCATCAGCCATTGTACGGTAGGTAACAGTAAATGTGAGATCCAAAGAAGACGGCATCGGAATAGCATTACTTCTCAGTTGCCACATAAAACATGTAGACTGTTCACAATGAATTTCCTACAAGACATAATCACTTTCATTAGTAAATGGCCATTAAGTACAGAAAAAATCAAAATATTGTTAAAATGTTCAAATTTTCAAACAAGTGTCGAAGTTCACTCCCCAAAACTTTAAAACTGTTAAAATATCTGTATTTGTATTCATTACTGTTCTGTCATTTGATATTAAATTTTGATATTCAATTATTAAATGTTTGTTCTGTCATTTGATATCCAGTTATTGAATTTATACAATTGTCTGCACTTTCATCAGTCATTTTTTTCTGATCAGCCTCATTAATTTTTGACAAATTTGGCAATGTATTTGTACAAGGTTTCAGGTTCATGCCTTAAAATAATTCTCATGAATGGAAAATAGAACTGAAACCTTCTGGCTTCAATGTTCTCACTAGCTGACCATACTTTATTATATAAAACAAAACTCAAAATATCTCATGGCTTTGTGTCAGAAGTCTCAATATTCAACAAACCTGCCACTTGCTGGTATATCCGAGTGGAATGAATTCTACATCATTGTTTTCAACAGCTTTCAACTGTGGAGTTGACACTAAAAATGGAATGCGATTGCTACCTTTCACTTCAACTTGGATGTACTTTCTGGAAAATAAAATTAAAATTTATAGTGATTTCAAAATGACAAGTATGATTTTATTTTGAAATGGAGAGTCAGACTAGAATTATCCTCATAGATTACCTTTATGTTGAATTAAGATCCTTAACTCACTGATTCATATTTCAATTGGTTGGAATAAAAACAATTAGGACTTTAATAGATTTAATTAATTTAATCAAAAGATTTAAAGCAGTTCCAAAATAACAAAAACAATTTAAGTTTAATGCATTTTTATATTCAGTATATAAATTATTTTTTATAAATATAGTAAATAATACAATTATTGTAAGTAACTTGCTTATTTTTAACCAATAAGGTATTTTTGTGGATTACAAAAATTGGTTTTCATCATAATAACTTAAATATATAGCAACATTGCAAGTTTTTCTTTAGGGAAATATAAGTGCTCATAGTTAGAAAGTCTCATTAAAGAAGTAGAAATTTCAACTCAGTGAATTTTCTGATTATCTTCTCATATCATTGTGTATCACTTGGTACTTAGTGAAATCACAAAATCTATATTCTAATTTCTGCTTGTGATTTTGTTACACTAACATTGTAAAAACGACACATTGTAGCAAGAATTTTTTTTAACATTTTAACAGTATTGCACAAAATTAAAGAATAAAGCTATTTCCAGTTTAATCTGCAACTTGATAATAGTGTGGGGTCTGTTTGTATTCGCCCTAAAAGATCGTCTTAGTTCATCCTGATATAATGACCAGATTTCTCATGGGAGGTAACTTCAGGCATATTAAATGTTAATTATAAAGTAATTTCTTTCATATATGTGCAAATATTAATTTGCATTGATTTTTTGATTTCTGTACATTATTATAAAACAGTACATAGTAATAAGATTTTTGTTAGAATATTTTAATGGTATTGTGCTAACTTGAAGAATAAAGTTAATGATTCAATCCAAGTATATTAACTGCTATTCATAATTTCCTTTTGCAAATAATTTACATCTCATTTTTGTCTGTCATCACATCAAGGACGGCTAGAGATATGTCCACCAGTAGGAATTTTATTTTCAACATATTAGTTTTGAAAATTCCCAAACTTCCAAAGTGATGACTTTTTTGCAGTCAACAGAAAAAAAATTAAGATATAAAAAATCATGTTGCTGAGTTTATAGTTTTTGCATGAGCAATGGTTGAGAATGTTTAATAATTTCTTATTAGCCTGTCAGAAAATGAAAACATTGGCGTTAAAATTCCACTCTATATATGTTTTTTTTTTTCACCTGGTAATATAAATATTCTATAAATATAAAGTGACTTGGCATTAAAAAACCCATTTACAGCCATTAATCATGATACAAGAAAAATTTTAAATTAATTCCTAATCATAATTCATGATATGAAGATAACTGTATAACATGTCAAGCAAAATTGTTAATGCAAAGTTTTATTATTAATGTTCTTGTTACTACAATCATATGACTGATGTATTCAGTGGTCTTCTGGCAGGTGTGAAACCTGTATCAAAAATAGTTTGAGGCAGTCTTTTTTGGTAATGAAAATTAGAAAATGATAACAAATAAAAAATAAGGGTAGTAAATATAATTAATCATATCAACTATATAGTAGACTTATATTAACTATATAGTTGGTGTATATCAGATTTGTCCTTTTATTCCCCATTGTAGAAATGATATGGAATGGATAGTTATTGTTTTGAGGTGTACAACTTATATTCTTAATAATCATATCAGTATGGCACACATTTCCAGTTCAGGTTCAATATATATTGACAGAAAGAAGCTCTAACAATGAGGCTGCCACATTAAGGAAAGTCAGTTTTGGAACTGTGGTATTGCACTCAATTTGAAAGTTGGGGTTTGACATGATAAATAATGACACAAAATATTTTTTCCCAAATCATTATCTTTTTTTGAGAAAACAAGTTTAAATATTAAGTTTAAGTTCAAAATTGAGCATTGGTGTTTAATTCCAGTGATCAATGAAAGCCTTATAGCACAGCATTATAAAATTTATAATTAAAATATATACAGTTGGTTTGAAATTAAAAGGGATAATAAATTACATAACCAACAACTGTATATCATCAACATGATCCAGAGAATAAAGCAATAGTCGACCGAAATACAAAATGTTGCATTAAAAAATTTATAGCACAATGCCTTTGTCTTGCTCCCAGAAAATATTCTTTTCTCAATGATGAATTAGATGAGGAAATAGGCTATTTAAAAAATTGTCCATTAGATAAGTAAACATTTATTCATACTTAAATAGTTATGTTAATTTACAAGACTAATTTTAAAATTTAATTCAAATTACATCATAGAAATATAACCATGTATGGGTAAATGTTTCAATAAAAATATTTCTTTTTGTTTCAGAAGTAGTGAGCCACCAAAGAGATTAAAAAATTACATTCATCAATTCTGAAGTAGACACACTGGTCAAATTTGATTAACCTCTCACAAAAATGGAGTTTGTGAACCTGTGCTTGCAGAAGGTTTTTCAAATAATGAACTGCAAGAGATTCTAATGAATGGAGTAACATTGGATTTGCCAAATTAACCTGGCCATTTGCAAGGTGTGGAAAGAGCAGTTAAATTAACTATTGAAGCTTCACAAATTGTATATGGACAAGAAGCAAGTCACAAGCACATTATCTACTATCTATATTTCTCATGTTGTCTGTCTGTGTGTCTGTCGTGGGTGTTGTTACCTCCCCCAGCCCGCATTTCTCACCCAATTTCGATGTGGTTTTCACCATAAGTTTGCAAATGACTGCCGTAAGGATATGACGAAGCCCGATTTTTGAGTTCGGACTCAGGTTCCGAAAAAAAATCGATAATCGAAAAAATTGATAATCGAAAAAAATCTGCTTACAGAAGGAATGATCGCATTACAACCAAATTTGACACCCTCTTAGAGTCTACCATTAGAAGTGTTGTCCAGAAGTTTCATGACCACGGACCCCTAAACAGCGCGGAAAATCGATAAAATCCAAAAACTGATACGCTCAGATTGCACCTGAACCGCATGTCGGTTTTTAGCTAAAACTGACCGGATATATGATGAGGCCATTGGGAGTCACCATGTGAAGGAGCCATTTGAAGGGTTTGAAGGCCCAAGGATAAATGCTGTCTGTCATTGGTGTACACTTAGAGGAGCAGTGCTTCTCAGACGGCCAACTTTACGTAGCCTGCTCTCAAGTCAGCAGGCGCGAGGATGTGTTCCTTTATTCACCCTCGCAAAAAGCTGAAAATGTGGTCTACACTGAAGTCCTCAGCTAGTGATACGCAAACTCCATTCCATTTTTCCTTTTCATGCAAGAAAATTGCTGTATAAGTCGTACGATTTTGGAATCAAGCACGGGCAATGCCGGGCCATGCTGCTAGTTACTAAATAGATCATTGTGCCATCAAATATTTTTACTATTATTACTTCTAAAGAAAATTATACTGAACAATTTAGTTATATTATGATGTAATATATTATACAGTGCAACATTTTCAATAAACAAAAGATTTAAAAGATTTTGTTTTATATTTTGTGCCCAACAGTATTATGGTGTTATATACACTTTTATCTATTTTTTGTTTTTATTAATTATGACCTAACAAGTAGTGTAAGATCTTATTCATTGAGTAGTTTTTTTTTTTTTTTTTAATAATCTTTTACATTTTTTACAGTTTTCACTTATCAAATAAAGTAAAATTGCATATTTTGCTTGTGGTGATTCATAATTAAAATTCTGGTTTGAATATATTTTCCATTCAATGTATCCAATACAAAAAATATCAACTTTAAATAGTAAAATTTTGAAGTCAGTTTGTAAGCAAAAACCTGTAGAAATTAGGTATTTCTTCAGATGATCTTTAAAAACTAGATGCTCAAAAATTGGTAAAAAGCTATAAATCTAATTTTTGGTGTCAGTACTTATCACATCACACCCCAGCTTCTGTGTTAAATAATAGTTTCAGACTATTATTTTTTAGTGGCAGTATATTTTGGCTCAGACCTGAGGCTGACCTTTAAGGTTAGATGGTAGACAAAATAAGAATCTTGATTTTGATTGGCTGAGTCAAATGTGGGAATGTTAGAGAGAGATAGAATGTGTTTTCAAGGAGTTAAGATTGATGCGTTAAAGAATGCAGACAAATGAATTTTGTGTGCAGAAACAGTTCCCCAGTGGGGTTGGATAACAACCCTACTGGCTAGTTAAAAAATGTACACATCAACGTGTTTAATCAAATAGATATGTTAAAAATCCCTACTTTTTGAAATTCTCATTTTACCTCCGAACAAACCAACTAACGATTTTTGAAAAATTAGTCTTACAAACTATTCTGTTGAAACCTTTGATGATAACTTTATACTCTGACCCTACCAGAAAGATTTACAATTTCTGTTGGATTATGTGAACTCAATTAGATCATTTATAGAGTTCATGACAGAAAAAATGCATAACAACAAGCAGATGTTATCAGCTATTATCTTGAGAATTTTTAAAGAGCTGAAGTATATAGATAGTACTTTCCAAAAGAATAATAATCCAACACATATTCTGGAACAAGAAACATAAGAGAATGAAATTCAGGGACATCAACTATGTAGCTAAAGTAAGTCCACCTTATATAAAAGTGGTGGAATGAATCCAAATGATTTGGGGATATTAAAATATCAAAATGGGTTTTAATAGCATAACCACTTTTTGTAATTTTACTAAAGTTGGTAGCCCATGAGAGAAGTGGATGACAAAGAATTGCATGTATAACATCCCATATAAATGTTCAAAAGAATGCAAAGGATAATCTAGCCGTCTTATGAAAGTAACATAGGGAATTTATATTGAAAGAAAAGTCTGATATAAATAAAACTATATCTGGAGAGAGAAGGCATGATAACACACTGTTTGTGATTAAATCCAAATAATAGATAAAGAGCAGTATTGGAAGATGAGAAAATTGAAGGAAGCAGCATATGTTAACCTTGTGGACAAATGTATTGATGTTGGTATGGCATTGATTTCTTTTTTTTTTTTACTTAGTAAGGAAAAGACAAAATATATCCCCCTCCATATTAAAATTTAGGATAGCTTAGCTTGTGACATGAATTGCTTGCATTGATATTATCAGTATGTTAATCATTATTATTTTTCTCTGACGCCATATTCTGGCTTTCATTACTAAGAATTCATCTTTTTAAAGAATGCCCAATCAGCTGAAATACTGTGATAAGAATAAAAGCAACATAATCCAAACTCTTGAAATGATCAGTATATCGGTATTAAATCACTGAGTTGATATTAACAAATTACTGATTTCTGTAAAAGTGAAAATTAAAAAAAAAAAAATCTTCAATTGAATGAAATAAACTTTCAGCAAGAAGTTGTAAAATGAACGACAAAATATGATTCTTTTCATCACTTATTATTAACTTTTAGTTGGTTTTTGAAAAAAAGCCACAAATTCTCTAATTAAAAATATTTTCAAGATTCATTAAAAAATAAAACTGTGGTAAATTAAAATTTCAGAGAAAATTTTTTCAGTAGTAAGCAAAAAGTATAGAGACCAGACTCAGGCTTATATGAGATGGTGATGAAAAGTTTTCAGCCTGACATATTTTGACCCTCAAGTTTGACCAAATAATCAAACCAAAGATTTTTTTTTTTTTTGGTTGGGGGAGATGTTTTAGTCAATCAAAGAACTTTTCAGCACCCCCAACCCCCTTGTATTTCTATTAATTCTATGTCATTATGCATACATTACATACCTTTCTTTACAAGAATAAAGGCGGTGTGAGAATGCCAGGGGAGGATAAAACACAATTTGACAGCTGATTGGTGAATGTAAAAAGTCACCATCAAAAGTTACCTAAAAAAAAAAAAAAAAAAAAAAAAAAAAAAGTTACAGAAAATAAATAGTTACAGTAACAATGAAAATTACTAGTAATTATATTTGGAAATTTACCAACAAGTGGTTAGGATGAGCAATATTAATATCCCTAAGTAAGTCTAATACTTGCTTGGTATATTTTTAAAAATACTTAATAGTTTTTAGTAACATTTTTGGCACATGTCCTTTAAAACTAAAAGTGTATTTCAAATTCGTTGAAATTATTCTTGCTGAAAATAATATTCAAAATCTCTCAAATAAAAAATAAGGATCCCTTTGTTGTTGCCTGATGACATTTTTCAATGATATATTTAAAAGATTTGTTATTTTTTTTCTAAATTATCCTCTTTATTCTTTATTAAACTGAACTGGTGATCCTCATGCATTTGATTCAAAGAATGTTTAAAATTTATTCCTTGATATGTGAAGGAAATTGAAAGACTTACAGTTCCCTCTACTTGGTCCTTTGTTAAGACATGCTGTAAAAACAGTTTAAATGTGAAAAGGTCATTGGCTGGAGTGGCTGGAAGTGGAATGTTTGTTTCTTCATCTTTTCCATTACTGACTGAAAGACCATCTGAAGTTGTCACTCTAAGAATGTTATTAGCAAGTATTGGGATGCTGCTTGTATGAAAAGTCACTTCTACTTCTTGCCTGATCCCAGATACCAATTGGCCTAAAAAGAGGGACACATTCAAATAAATCACTAATAGAACAATAAATTCTACAATAGCATCTATTAAAATCATGTCTATTCAATTAGAATTTCTTTTAGCTCTTATACAAAATAAATTATTGCTTGAGCAATCTCTTATATTAATTCCAATTGCAAGTCAAGTTCTCCAGTTGAAGGAGAGATGCTGGATCTGTAATGTTAAGTTTATATTTATTTATATTTACAAGGTCAGTTTTAATTGTCCTTAGCCAGAGAGCTTTTCTGAACAGCATGGTTTGAAGCATTATTCTAAGGCTTTTTCATTAGGCGAGTATCGCTATATGTCTTCAGAAAATGAATCTTCTTTTGATGGTTTGCTCCAAGGTTTTCATTTTTGTCTTAGAAGCCATATTTTTTAAATATGGCTCATTTTTCATAAAAATATCAGAAGATTAGATTTCACTAAAAATAGTTTTAGAAAATTTTAACTCACTCTTCCCCATACACAAATCAGATTTCTGTAAATTATTAGGTCATCTAAATATTTTACTCTATTTTGAATTTGTTGTAGCTTTCAAGAGTAAAATCTTAAATAGTATTGCTATTCACTTACCAATCTCTGGACTTGGTGTGATTTCAATATAAGGCTGCTGGCAAAAAATCTCAATAAAAACATCATGAGCCACATTGTGACGAATGAATTCCATCTGCTTTGTCTTGATGCACAACTGACCCATTTTATAGAGTCCTTTCTTACAATTCTGCAATAAGGAAAGTATCTATATAGAATATTATTTGATAAAAATGAATACGAACAAATATTTGTCTGTATTTCTGAGATGAGGTATTGTAACTATTTACATTGTTTGGACTGTTGTCCTCATCTTTACTGTCACATTCACAACATTTCAGCTGTTGTATACTCTGGCCTTCTTCAGGTGATATTTACCACTGTGAACTATGAATTTGAACTGTGAATTTGGTTCAAAGTTCCAACAAATATCACCTGAAGAAGGCTGGAGTGTACAATAGTCGAAATGTTGTGAATGTGAAAGTAAAGATGAGGACAACATTCTGCACAATGTAAATAGTGTAAATGAACAAATATTTTTAATTTGATGAAAACATTTTGTGTGTTTGTGGGTGAAGTATCAAGCTGAAGACAAAAATAAAATGAATTTTTTGTTTCTTATTCAGCAATGCATCTAACTTATCAAATAATTTTTATTATTTGTGAGATGATTAATAATAACCAGTTTTAACCTGTGAAAATTTCACAGATTTCCCATTAGAAATTTCTGATGAATCTAAATTCTTCAGTTAATGATTGAATAAGCTCATGGGGAGTTCTATAACAATAAAATATCTATAGAAATTGTCTTATCACATTGTTAAATATTCAAGCTTAACAGCTTTAACAAAATATTGTAATAATAATCATAAATATGAATGTGGGTTGTTGTTATTTTAAGAAGTAAGGGGGTACAAATGAAAAGATTTGAAATTTACTTTTTCCATTTCACTAAAAAGGGCATTAAACACTTCTATCTTCCCATCTTTCTTTAATTTTCTCACTGAAACCAAGTAGAATATTTGATATGTCTTGTCTTTTCACACACTCAAAACAGAATAGTCTATTTATGAGGCATTAGCAGAAGATGTTAAACACTTCTTTCTTTTACTCACTGAAACCAAGTAGCATCTCTGATATGATTTTTGTCTTTCCATGTGATCAAAACAGAATAGTCCATTATTTATTAGGTATTGTTAAGAATTAATGAAGGAAATGACAAGCACAATTATTATATGATAATATACTGATTTGTTTGGACTAGTGTCCTTGCCTTGGCAGTTAGCTTGAACTGAGCCCTTTATTCAATTCACAAGGGTAGATTGTTCTCATTTTGCTGTCAGTGTTGGAGGATAGATTTTATTATTTAAATTTTGTTAATTAGTCCTTGTGATATCTCTTTCAGCGAAGCAGAGTATAGATCTATTTTGCACTATGCAACCCAGGGATTGAACTCATGACTGCCTCATAATTCATTTAAATAATACTTTCATCCACTAGGCTATGTAGGACAATTTGGTGGTTGAAACTCACAATCTTAAACTGGATGTCACTTGCATGTCTCTTTCACTGAATAACAGTATATGACCATTGATATGATCTGTAGTGGAATTTTTAAGTTTTTGTTGAAATTGTACCGTAGTCACCACTGATGCAGGCACTACTTCTAGTCAGACTACAAGCAGTGGCAACAATATTTTGCACATGTAAATGACAGGTGTAAGGAAATGGAAGAAAATTTCAACAAGGTGATATTTTATATTTTTGTTTTTATATAACTGAATAACAAAAGAGAGAGAATACACTAGTATGTATAGAAAGGAAGATACTGAAAGTTAGGAATTGTGTGTGTGTAAGTTCAGTCACTAAGGAGAACAAGGTCTTGGTGGTGTTGTCACTAATGCATGCTGGGAGGAAAAGAAATAAGAGAATGATAACAGGAAGTGTCTAGTTTATATAGATGCTTGAGAGTGCCACCTAATGACTTCTTGACAAAACTCACAAAGTTATGTGGAGATAATCTACAGTCTTAGGTCTAATGGTTTTTCTTTCTTAATTGTCTACTGAGGAGGTTATTAGAAAGTAGCATGGAAAGTGGAATAACAACAACTTATTAACTGGACAACGAGTTCAATTTGAAATTCCCAGATGGTTATCAATTACAAGAGACATCTGAATAAGGCCGAAGGGTACAGCAGCAAAAAGGTTTTGATGATAGTAGTCAAGATGAGGATACAAGTTGAAACAAATCAATGTATAACTTTCATTGTTTGTTTGTTTTAAATCAGTATCACCCCATGCAACACCTTGTGTCTTAGTGGCTTTACTGTCTTACATGAGGTGATACTGATTAAAAAAAAAACAAATGACTAAAAAAAATCTCTATCTTGTAGCATTTTTTATAAAAACAAAATAAACACTTATTTGAAATGGCACAAGATGAATTATTGGCTAGCACTTTAGGAAATTGAAAGCATTATTTTCCTTCATCCAATGCAAATGCTTAACAGTCTGAGGTTAATCTGCAGCTTATTATTGAGAATAACAAATTACATAATAATAATAATAATTTAATTTTAGAATTGTTTAAAGTTTGATTAAATTTATTTTCAGAAACTTACAAAATTAAATGTATTAAGTTAAAAAAAAGAAAAGTAAAGATAATACTTACCTGCACTTGACATTTAAGTGTAACTGAATTCAAGCCAGGCTTCAAGCTGATATTCTCAACTATTAAAGACATTTTATAATTCAATTTGAGTATATTATCCGAGACAGAACCATGGACGCTTTCAACTCTTTTGAGTAATTCATTACTGTTTGTGCAGATGATGCCACTCGTAACAGTTTTATCCTGCTTTATTTCTGTATGCTCAGTGACACTGATCTGTGAAGGCAACTGCGGTCTGATGCACTGGAAACTCATCATTGGTTCATCAACCATTTCATAGAGACTTGCTTGTCTGGAAAGTGGCCGTTTCTGTTTGCTCTTACTTGAACGAGATGAGGCAGTGATCTCATAGGAAAATCCTAGGGATATAAAATCAACTGTGATATCTTGGGGAAAGTTATTCCGGATTTCAAGAGTAACACTCATCTCGTCCCTGAAGGTGGCAACTGGAGTGTTGAGGATAATATCTTCAGTAATGAATGCAGGATGAGTTTTCAAATAAAATGGAGAATCTAGAGAAATAGAAAAAATAAAATAAAAAAAAAACTGTTATATTTTTATTCTTCCTTTAATCTGGCTAAATTTTCTGCAAGTTCTACAGGGTTCTGTTCTTGATAATTTGTTATACATTTTTTCATATATTTTACAGTTAAATACTATTTCTGATACTAATCTACCAAATACTAGGCAGCTGGTACTGCATCTCATTTGATAGATCTGGAGTTACACCTGGTAGAAAAGTAAACTTGTTATTCTTAAATTATTACCTATAATGTTCATCCTAATTATTCTTGATCAATATTTGGGTGAGCTATTCTTAAGAATCCAGTGGATTCAGGTTTGATTTTCTAGTCATTGGGGATGCAAACTATTTCATGTCCAAAAGCTTAAGAGCAATTTTCAATAAAACATACCAGTCATTAAATCTTGAATCTGTTTGGCCATTTACCTTGGATAAATGGCCAAAGATAGGATCCTGCTTTTAGAGAACATATATTCTCTTTCATAATAGCAATTTATTAAATATAGCACAAGGCCACATGTAAGGAGCACTTCATAAGGACTGAACTCACTACTTAGTCCTAATTGATCTAGTGAGACACACTTGCTAACCATTACATCATGATGAAGTGCTCTCCACTTTCATAATCTAGATTTAGTGAAGCTGGAAGTAAAGGATACTGGAAATAGAATTTAAACTTTAATAAAATGTGAATTATTGAAATTGATCTCTTATAATTGAAATATCAAGCTACAATTGCATTTAGTAAATAAAAAATGTTACTGATTGCTGATGAGATCAAAAATCATATCATACTAGACTAGACAGTTGAGTGATAAAAGTAATGCCTTTTACCAGGCAGCTACCATTTCGCAGGCTGGAAAAAGAAGTTATAACACCTGAAAAAAGTAAATATATTTTAGTATATTAGTTAAGAATTATCTATACCTGTTTAGCAAAATAATCATGGAATTTGAGACAAAAGGTGACAGTCATAACTTTGAAAGTTTTAGTTTATTTGAAAATCTTTTAGAATATATAAACAAGTAATCAGCATTTATCATTTTGACATTTCCATTTAAGTTGATTGTGCTATTGCGCTGAAAACAAATTAAAACAAAGCCTTATAACAATGTATAAGACATCAAAAGATGCACTGGTTAACTGACTTGAATTTGCAGTTTATTGACAAGTTGCTGTGAAAAAAAATTACACAAGTTTGCCACATTTAGCAACAATTATGATATACAATCACATGAAAAGTATTGGACACAGGATTTTTTTTTATTCTTGCTACTAGCTTAAAACATCAGATGAATATAGTAAATATGACATCCTATGTATAAGGAAAAATAAAGAAATGTTTGTCTACAATTTAGTAACAAATACAACATGCAAAAGTCTTGGATACAATATGAAAATATAAATGAAGCAGGATAAAAATTGCTGTTTGGGACTGATTTTTATTCAAGTTAATAATTTGACCAATAAAAACATACCAGACACCATAACCAAAAACTTACTTTGAAACTGTTACTGAAGGTAAAAGCTTTCACAATGGCAAAGACAAAGAAACTCTCTCAAGAATTTTGTGAGTTGATAATTGATCTTCATAGTTCTAGAATGGAATATCTAAAGCTTTCCCAAGAGCTCAAGATCCCCATTAATACAATTAGAGACATAAAATGGAAGGAATATGGCCAGACTACTAATTTGTTTTGAAAAGACATCCTTGTAAAGTACATGAGCAGTTAAATTAGGTACCTCCACAAAATCGCTAAAAAAAGAGCATAGCTTGATGAAAAAGACGCCAACCTTGCCGAAAACAAAATTTTATTGTCTAAATGCTTATGTTATTATTTAGAAGAAAGACCAAAGTTTTTTTTAATTATTTTAAAAAATTTTCCTTCTTTTAGAAAATTCTAAATTTTGATTAAAAAAACCTTGTTTCTATTTGTATCAGCGGAACTAGTAAATAACATAGACAATTTTAGCACGTTTTTTGGTATGACACATTAATTTGAAAAATCATGCAAAAATAGAAATAATTATCGGATGTTAATGAAACTTTCAGGAACTATTCACAGATGATCGAAATTATTATAAATATGTTTTTTTTTTATGAAAGTCATGGTAGAAATATTTTTTAAAAATATTTATTACCCCCATAACTAATTTTATGAAAACGCTAGAAATTCGATCGCATCGGTTTTAGTGATTACAATAATTAAAAGCACAGGGCTTTGAGGAATGCAAATCATGTTTTTTTGTTTTTAATTAGATACCCAGTACCTGAAAATCAGCTCTGAATTGTAACATACAAAACTCAATAAAACAAAGATATTATTTAATTTCAAATGCTTTTATTTGCTTTTAGTTGTTTTTATGAATATGGACAATATTTTCTGAAAGCAAAAAAATTTTTTCGATGAAAAATGAATTTTAATACAATTATTTGTTATTTCATTAATTATAATACATTTTACATTTAAGTTGTTAAAATATTATAAAATTAGTTAAAAGTCAAGACAGGCTTTTTCATAAGTGTCCTTATGAGATAGATCTTTTTTTTTTAGTGCGTTGTAAAGTGTATCATTTTGACTAATCAGAAGATCCCCAGTAATTAAGAAATGTAATTTTGTGCTTATAATCGAGCTGTAATTATAAAATACGGAAGACCAAGCAGAATATAATTAAGTTGCGTTATTTGAGTTAAGCATTGTTCTCCGCTGTTAAGGGCCTTTACTTTTTTGCGAAACACTTGTGGAGAAGTTAATTTGATTTTTTTCAATTTCAACTGAGAAGGTTACCTACAAGTATCAGTATCATCTTATGAAATTTATATGATCTTATTTTTATATTAATCTCAGTTACGACATTTTTCCATAAATGAAATATCAAAATTAATAATAAAATGAATGCAAATACAAATAACAGTAGAATGTAATAAATGTACATAAAATTATAGTATTTTATGTACAATTCTGATAAAATTTCATAAGAAAGGTACCTATAAATTAATTAGATACCTTTCTTAAGAAATATGAAATTTAATGTCACTCTTAACAGTTTTATTTTAATTTCTTTAGAATATATTTCCCATAAAGCATCATAAACGTAAAGGTGAAAGCTAAGTACAAAAAAAAAAAAAAAAAAAAAATTAGACCGCTGAAAGTTTTCGTTAAAAATAACGGGGTAAATAATTTGTTCACGTAAATGTAAATTATTTCACTTTTCTCCTTCCGTAGAACAAATTAGCCTCATGGAATTGTGTAAATATATCATTCATCACATGTCAAGAGACGCGAAAGTTTATGACCTGCTTTGTTTTATTTTCAAATTACATCTTTTTGGCACAAAAGCTAAGTTAAGTTTGGTTCAAAATATTTTAAATAAACATTATAATTTCTGATTTTCTTAAAATAAGTTTTGAAAAATGATAATTGATATTTAAAAAAATTTCAAAGTCAGATTTCAGTTTATTTTAAAATGGAAAAAAAATGGTCAATTTTGCTGACTCAAAAAAACTAGATTTTTTAACGAAAATTTAGGACGTGCTAGGAACGATTAAAAATGGAAAAAAAATACCCTAAAATACTTTGACCTTTCCTCTTAATGAATAACAAACATTTAGACGATAAAATTTTGTTTTCGTCAAATTTGGCGTCTTTTTCATCATGCTATGCTCTTTTTTTAGCGATCTCGTGGAGGTACCCAAGTTAAATCCATTTGATGGAAAGTAATACACAAACTGTTTATAACTGGAAAAGAATTTCAGAAGGCATTGCAGGTAGCTGGCACAGAATTGATTAAGAATACAATTAGATAGACATACCATTGTATGCTTAGTTTCTTAGAAATATTCCTTTGCTGAAGATTATGCACCTGAAAACTCCTTTACAGATTACCAATCATCAATTAAAGAAGCTTAATTCCTTTTAGAATAAATTATCATGGTCTGATAAAACTAAAATCAAACTGTTTGAGATAAGACATACAAACACAAAAATAGCATTCCAACAATTAAACAGTCGTGTAAGTATTAATGATTTGGGGTTGTTTTTTTTATCATCAGTAGCATGGGGGCATTTCATATTATTGAAGGAATATTGGATAGTGCTACATATCATGAAATACTAGAGAACATGTTCCCATGTGAAATTTCTCAAACTATCAAGAGGTTGGATTTTTCATCAAGATAATGATCCCAAGTACAATGCAGTGGAAATAAAGGAATGGTCTGAGGTGAAGGAAATCAGGAGTTTTAAAGTGACCTGGTCAAGCAAATGACTTAAATCCTATTGAAAATCTCTGAAAAGATCTTAAGCTTAGAATTTATCAGAGGAATCCCCAAAACTTGAGTGATGTTAAGATTATTTGTCAACTGGAATGAAATAAAATTAGTGTTCATTTCTGCAAGAAGCTTACCTCAAATTATTTCAAACATCTGACAGCCATCATATCAAATAATGATATACGCCCCAAACTTGTGTTACTTTCTGCTGGACTTGTCAATAAATTTGTGTAGGTAAACATTTCTTCTTACAAACAATTTATCCTAAGTATATTCAGCTAAAATTCTAAGTTAGTAGCAATAATAAAATTATTTTCCTATATGCCCAATATTTTTTGTATCACTGAACATGTACACCTTTTAGAAAGGTTGGTTAATTTACCTGAGTTATTGGTCAGTTGATACAGTTCCTCAAGGTAATGGCATCGTTCTGACAGTGTCAAATAACTACTGCATGCAATATGGCAGCAAGTCTTTATATATCTGTGTATATTTGGTCAAGTAAATAACAAGAGAGACAAAACAAAGCCGGGGAAGAAGCAGTACATTGCAGAGAGCAGATTGTAATTAATGCTAAATCATTCTCTCTATATATACTAAATAATATAATAATAATATAATATTATTATAATATAACGTAATAATACAAATATGCTAAAATATAAAATAAATTTGTTTAGTTGTTCTTTCTTTTGCTGTCCTACCATTATTGGAAGAAAGTTGTTATAGTTGCAATCTATTTATGCTGCATTTGATGTGAAATCATAACACCACCAAAAAAAAAAAAACTGAAACTGCTTTAATGTACACAACCACAAGATAAAAATAGGAGATAATGCATAAAAATAGAAAGCAATCCATATTAAAAAAAAAAAAAAAAAAAAAAAAAAATGAAAATCAGTGGATACTTTAGAGTATTATCCAATTTCTTTTGACACTGAGCCACAAGAATTCGTACACCATCTGCCAAAATGTCCCAACCTTCTTGTTTATACATCTTCATGGCATCCAAAAGAAATCCTTCTGCTTTCAAAGGCTCTCCAAGTTTCCTGTTAGCAAATAAGCTTAGAAATACAAATTCACCAACATTCTCAAACAAAGAACATTCATATTTTAATATGGCATGTTTTCTTTAATAAAATACAGTTTACAAAAATACAAAAATGATTGTTATTTAATTTATTCTGCCATTTGTTCTCTTAAGAATTCATTGTCTAGCTCATTGTAAAAAGCTGAAATACCAAAAATTAGAGACAGCAGTACACTGGATAGTTTTGCCCACTCCAGATTGTAGAAATGGACTTAGCCAGATGATATATGTTTGATGTAATAGGTAATGAGATTGTGTAGCTGTGACAGCAGTAGGGCGCAGGCAGGATTTAACACTGATCATGGAATGACTGTTGAGGCCAGAAACATGGGACACTAATTTTGAGATGTTTTTCTTAGGCAACAGTAGCAAGGGCATACCAAGGATATATGGATTCTAGACAGATATCAGCTGTACATATAAACTGTATATGCTCACAGGTAATGCAAGAATAGGACCTCCAACAATTTACAAGGATTTTTAACCACCCACTGAACAAGAACATTGAATCAGATCACACTGAAAATGAATGCTAGTGCCAATAAGTCTATTAGTGAACTGTTTAACATACACTACATTCCATGGGCTTTTAGAGCCATTGATCAAGGCTACCATTCCTGACACCAAAACATCAGTTAGTGTGCCTTATCTGGATCAGAGAGCATTACCATTAGACCATAGAAAACTAAAGTTATGATACCTTGTTAGACAACTTACATTTTCAGCTTTTCAGGCAAATGATAGAGTTCATGTATAGAGGAGACTGAATGAGGTTATGAATCCAGTCTTTCAGTAGGGTGTTGGGTAAACTTGTGGAGGCTCTGTAATTGTGCATGTCATATTCTTTTAGAGTTTACAAAGGCCACTAGTGAAATTGGAGTCTATTGTGACACATGTAGCACAGATTTTGTTGTAGACCATTTAAAATCCTTCTTGTGGTAATGGTTTCTTCCAGCAAGATAATGCACCCCTCATATGTGGGATTTGAAATCCTATGTCTTAGAGACTGTGACTATACATGCGTGCAAATAAAAAAAAGACTAATTATGTGTGTGTAACACACGAACACATCTATATTTTAGGGCATGCAAATGTGCTTTCCTAATATGCAAATTACTCTACATTTAAACTAAAATATTTTCTTCCATAGCAGTGTTGGATAAGTGAAACATTTCTGTTATAATTTGCTCTTAATGGTTATAATATTATGTCTCATTTAGGCTATTTGCCATGACATCATTAGAAATTCTCTTCAACTGACTCCAATGGACTTCTGACTCACTTGGACTTCTTTATCTAAGGCGTCCTGCCTAGTTCATTTGTGTTACTGGGGGTACTTACTCCACAACTGTTTCCCCAATTTTTTTTTTCATGTTTAGTTTTCATAATGTTTTAGCCAGCTCATTTTCTGGCTTTCTTTGTGTAAATTTCTCTGATGCAAAATCTTGTTGATCTTACTGTTTAGTCATTAATGTCTTTGAATCATACCATATTGTTTTTTTACTTTTTATATAATACTTTATATTATATTACTCACAGGAAGTAGTATGCACTCAACTTTCACCCTCATTAATTTCTTAAGTTTCCTCTGCCTTGGCTTTGCTCACTAGTTTTGTCAAATTTATGTTCAATACATCATTTCCTATCAGCCTAAAATTCTTTTCACAGATTGCTACAATAATCAGTAATATGTCAAACTTATTTTTTAGTTCCACATAGGCTTCAAAATAACCTAACATTTTCATCACAGACCCTATCGGCAATTGTTGTGCAGTGTTACTTACTCACAGGAAGTAGTATGCACTCAGCTGCCTCATGAGTAATAGCCATAGCCATTTATAGTCTTTGTGACTTCATATGTAAATGAGTTATCTCAATTATACTTGTTTTTATAATTATGAATATGTAGTTGATCATAAAGATCAATTACATAATTAAATTTTCAAGATAAATTAATTTTAATATTCCAAAATATGATAATAAAACATTATAATAGATTAAGGAATTCAGTTTTTTCTAAGAATATAGCAGATTCTATAAGTCATGGCTACTTAAAGAAAAATAATTACTGTCAAATTACTACATAGTAAATACTTACATGTAAAACTCGGCCAAATCATGTCCAATAATCCGAGCTGAACGTACTCGTCCTATATGCTTGAATGTACCCATTGCCAATTCAGATAATTCCTTAACAATTAAAAGAACAATGAATTATACAATTGACAGTGTACCATGCAAGTGAAAGAGAAAATATTGTTCCAAACTTTTAAATGGAGGCATAGCTCGGATGCTGTGGGTTCAGTTCCAGACCACCTCACTGAAGCAATATCACAATAAAATGAGTCACACAAATTGTTTGGTTTCCTAGTGCATATAAAATTTACACTATATTGTAGTCTATTGTATATCTATAGTATGAAACAGCATTAGCATTTCAATAATGAAAAAGTTTGAAATCCTGTGAGAATTACAAAATGTGACACAGTAATATAAAGTGAGTAGGTGCAATTGGTAAAATGGCATGTGATTCAACTTGCAGGATTGATGCAATATTGTCTCAGACATTCAATTTGAAAATTGTTAAAAGCTCAAGATTAAGGACAGCAGTAAACAAACACAGCCATTAAAGAAAATTGAAAAGATAAAGCACTGGTACTTCAAATTCAAGGAGATGCATGCCACCTATCTAATATTTGAAAATTAACTAAAGTTTTAAGATATGAAGAAATAATACATACTAAATAATGTTGCTTAAAAGATTCTTTTGATGAAAGAGCTTCTCGTAGTCTATCAATCGGCCGAGGTGGCCCAATACCAGTTGCTGAAAAAAGTTAAATATTACTTTCATAATAAAATAAATAATACAAATATACGTTAACTAAATAATAGAGAATCTTTGCATTTTATAGACAGTTTAAACAATGACAATGTATTTTTAAAACAAAATTTTTTTTTCTAAAATCATTGTTGAGCATTTTTGCCTATTTAATATATTTAACTAATTTTTGCTTTTGCAGTGTAAAATTTTCAAAAATTAAACTTAAAACCATTAAAAAAGATTTGAAGTGAATATTAACCATGGAGTAATTAATTTGTAATTTTTATAAAGGACAATTAAGTTATAACAAAATGATATGAAAGCATTTCAAAAAAGTAAAATTTATATAATATTAATTCGGTATCTAATTTATTTTAATATCATTTACAAAAAGGGTTGTTTTGTGTTTCCTGATAATATTTTTATGTTTTTTAAACTTACAAAAGACAAATATGAAATAACTATGGTAAAACTGAATTTAATACAAAGTTAAATTTTAAAATCCCTGTAGGGATTTGCAATAACAAAGGTCCTTGATTTTGCTTATTCTACCTACTATTTTCTATAGGTTGAATGGTAAAAAGCCAAGTTTCCTTTTAACTTCATTTTACAGCTTTCAAGGCTACCAAATATTCTGAGATAAATTTTATGTTTGAACGAAATAAAAATAAATGCATGCTAGCTTTTCAAAGCTTTTTTTTTTTAGGACATTTAACTTTATTGGACAACAGTTAATTACATTTAAGAAAAAGTAATCTTTTTAGAATTAGTAAAAGATCTCTATTTGTCAAACTCTCAGTCTTTATATTTTATAATAAAGAGGAGTCAGGATCAGTGTCACCACTCATCCATTATTTTGAATTTGATATTCAAAGAAAGAAAACAGAGATTTACCATCTTCATCATTGACACCCATTCCAAAAAGAAGATCTACAACTTTACTAAGTTGTTCAGATGTAGGTTTAGAGTCCAAACCTGGCATCAAGCCACATAAAAATCCCAACTCTTTTAGCTGAAATAAAGAGAAGGAAAAAAAAAATTGAAATTATTTTATGTTACAAATTATAAAAAAAAAAAAAAGTCTTTGTTATACAGTAAAAACAATCATATGGCTTGTATGTGAAATTAGCATGCATCATTATTGTTGTTTTCATGAAATTTTATTTCAATTTAATGGGATTAAGATAATTGGAAATACCATTAAATCAAAATAAAATTTTAAGAAAACAATAATGATAGCAAACAATATATCAGTTTAGGCTAAATTTCAAAAGAACCAATCAAACTGGAATGATTTGGCAATATAATTAGATTGTAACAGAAATAAATCCAAGAATTAATGTTGTCTAAAAATAAATTATATAAGAAAACAGGAAAGTAATCTAATCACTTTTCTACGTGCATAGTCCCACAGGCTGGCAGTGTAGAGAGAGTGAGCATTACTCTGGTTTGTATCATTCAGTTTTTCACTTGTTTGCAACACTTCTAAACAGCTAAGGAACACCCAACAAGCAAGAGAACCTTCTGGAAGTTGAATCTGAATAAAATAAAACAAATATATTTAAAAGAAAAATGCACATTTTAGGTATGAAAAATAAATTAAAAAAAAACTTTAATATTTTATGCTTCATTATTTATTCAAAGGGCATTTTATTGCAATATGTCAGTAGTAAATATTCATTAATTCAAAAGGTCATTAAATTATTGAACCTTCATGCCTACGAAAAAAATGGAGCGTCAAAAGGATGGTTTTCCCCTTGACAGCGCTATTATTTTAACTACCTTCACCCCTCAAGAATGTTTATTGCTTTAAAAAGCAATAATTAGAAGTGTAATAAAACCTAAACATATGAAAGTGAATTTATAGCTTTTGTTTGTTCTTGAGAATTGACTACAAAAACAATAAATATTTTTTTATTTATTAAGATTGTTTATTTACACTATTTATATTTTTTATTGGAATGGTTGGCAAATTGTCAATTGATTCAAACTTTATAAAATGGAAAATAAGGATTTCCTTATAGTTGGTCCACATATAATTTAGTAAATGTTTATAAATTTATGAATAAATAATTGTTTTCATATTTATTTTTTTATAAATTGGTACATGATAAATACTGCATTGCATTAGTTCTAATTGTATTTGTTTTTAGAATGTTGTAAATATCAAATTATTCTTGTAAATAAACAATCGCATAAATAGTGTTTAATATTTTTGTTGTAAATTCTTAAGAACAAAATAAAAAATGTATAAATTCACTTTCATCACATGTTTAGGTTTTATTACAATTCTAATCATTAATTTTTAAAACAATAAATATTGCTGGGGAGTGAAGGTAGTTAAAATAACTGTAGTGTCAATGGGAAAGGCATCCTTTTGACATTCTGTTTTTTTTGTGTGCATGAAGATCCAAGTTTGCTTAAGTATTATTAATAATTTAAATTACTGCCATTTAAAAAGTACCTATATATATATATATATATATATATATATATATATATATATATATATATATAAAAAAAAAAAACAACAACAAAAGATGTTACCAATGATTAAAATACAATGAAGCCAAACAAAGAATGATAGCTTAAATTATCTACTTATTTAATGGATAATTAAGATTTTTGACAGGTAAAAATATTGAATCTTTAAGCAAATGAGATGTTTACTTCCAGTGTCTTCATTTCTTGCACCGTGTTGTGGAGGTAAGCAACTGCTCTCTCAGCAATCTCCCAAGGTCGATTCAAAAGAGACAACAATGCACACTGCCGAGAGAAAAGATAATTGCGAAACTCCAACAGACTTGCTTTGTTTTGCTTGATCAGATCTCGCTTTTCCCAGTTGAGTGCTTTAGTAAGAGAAATGCCAGCCCAAGTTGTACAAGGTTCAACAAATGGAGTCAACCAGTCCACAGTTTCTATGGAAGTAAAACAATAACAAAGTGAGAGACACAATGTCAGAAAATAAAATAGATTTTTAATACATTATTTAAAATTCATTGAGATATCTTCATCTACTTTGAAAAACTAAAGACATTATAAGGATTCAATTAAAGTAAATGTGATAGAAGAAAGAGAATTTACCTCCTGCAGCATGGTTGAGCAAGAACTGTGTGAATAAGGCATCAAGTTCATCATATTGGAGAAGGCTATCGTCATATATACCAAGCATTTCAAACATAAATGCCAGTTCTTCCTGGAAAAAAAAAATGTTCATATTATTCTTAATAACATAGAAAGTAGACAGTTATGTATATCTCAGAAAGAAGAGCAACATTTGGATGACAGCAGACTAGAGTGAAGGACATAATTGAGGTCATCAAGAAGGGTAAACATAAATGAGCTCTCATCTCAGATACAACAGGTGAACTATTAGAGTGACAGAGTTGGCACCAAAGCAGTGGAAAAGAACTATAGGGTGGCCAAAGGCAATGGTCTGACCCAATTATCTTGGCCCCACATGACCAGAGATAGGAAGTGGTGGAGGTCAACCAGAGAGAGTGATTTCTCCAACAGTGAGAAAGATTTGGATTTAGAAAAACATAGGAAGAATATAAAATAAATAGTAGAATTATCTAAAACTTGAAACATAAAAAATAATTTGGACATCTTAGAAATTATATTAGGACCTTGAATAAATTCTCACTGTTTTCCAACAGACGGTGTTCCCAGAACTGTGTGTGTGTAGTTTCAGATGGTAATACATCTATAAGGAAGTGCCATAAGCAAGCTTGAAATTCAGTGTATGTCATTTCACTGAAGTGTAAACAACTTTGTTTTTCATAGCGATAAACATGTTGGATTTTGTGCCAAAGAAAGTGTATTTGTGGGAAATTTTACTGCACTACATTATTCAAAAGAAATTTACAGCTGAAGCACACAAAATTCTTGTTGAGACTTACAGCAACCATGTTTATTGGAAACAACATGCAGTGATTGGTTTAGACACTTCAAAAATAATGATTTTGATGGTGGAGATAAAAAATGCTCTGGTGCACCAAAAAAGCTTGAAGACGAATTGAAGACATTACTTCATGAAGATTCATGTCAGGCACAAGCTGAACTTTTAGAATCATTAAGAGTTGATCACACAACAATTTTTAAATGTTTAAAAGCATTAGGAATGGTTCAAAAGCAAGGACATTGGGTGCTGTATCAATTGAAATCAAGAGATGTATTGTGACCGGCAATGAAAAGTGGATACACTAAAATAACCCTAAGCATAGAAGATCATGGGGTAGGCCCAGCCATGCATCAACATTGGTGGCAAAGCTGAATATCCATGGTTCGAATCTTTTGCTCTGCATTTGGTGGGATCAGCTGGGTGTAGTGTTTTATGAGCTGCTTAAACCGACTGAAACCATCATGGGAGATCACTATTGACTGCAATTGATGCATTTGAGCTGAGCATTGAAGAAAAAATGACTGCTATACAAGCAGAGGCATAACAATATGATTTTGCAATATGACAATGCTAGGCTACATGTTGCAAAATGGGTGAAAACCTATTGGGAAATGCTTAAATGGGAAGTCCTACCCTACCCTCCGTATTCACCAGACATTGCCCTGTTGGATTATCACTTGTTCTGATTGATGGCACATGGACTGGCTGAGCAGCACTTTCATTCTTATGAAGATGCCAAAAAAATGGGTCGACTCATGGTCAGTCTCAAAAGATGTTTTTCCGATGTGGAATTCAAATGCTGCCAGAAAGATGGAAAAAGGTGTGTCTAGCAATAGACAATACTTTCACTGATATATTTCTTACTAATTTTTTAGATATAGCATTACTTTTCATGAAAAATCAGCGAGAACTTATTCAAGGTCCTAATATCTTAAAAGAAAATCTAGTTCTGTTTGCTTTTCTTTATTCCTATCACTGCACACATAAATGACTCATGCTATAAAATAATTGTAATTTTTTTTTTGAGTATGTAAGTGACTTCATATTAAAACTAGATCAAACATACATCTTGTTTAAAGTTACATCTCTTAAAAACTAAGTAATGAATAAAATGACTTCAGATAAAGTTTGTAGATAAAATGTGGTGAAATCTGCTATGAAAAATTGGATGACTGATTGTTTTGCAACAATCATATTCTTCTTCCTTTTAAAGTTATTAAAGCTGTGTGCAACAATCACACAACTTTAAAACAAAGGCTAGTGTTATTGCTTAGCAGCAATAACATCTTATAGTTAAGAAACAATTTTATTGGGATCATGATTAATCGTTGATGGCTTTTTACTAATTAGAGAAAGCAATGTATTCTTTCCTTCGTGGATGGTATTGAAACTATTCTATTGAAATTCTCAAAACATTAATGCAGCAATATTAATTGCATCTTGAAAAGAACAATAATGCTACATATGGTCTGACTGAGAGCATCATCGTAATAAAAAATTCATATCTTATTAATTTACCTGTACAAGGAAGTATTCAGAAAAGCTCCAATTGTGTTCGTTCCTTCTCTCTCTTAGTGAACGCATATTCTCTTCATACTTATTCAAATGCTTATTAAAAGATTGGAGAAGTAATTGCCGGAGACGTTGATAAAAATTGTTCCAGGAGTCAAGACACTTTTGGTCCCCTTTTAATGGTTCAGTGAGAACAATGCATCTACCAAAGAAAAAAAAATATTGCAAATTTATTTTGTCTTCATCTATATTTAAAATGTAACTGTGGATTGAAATTGAGATTACTAGAAAATAAATACATATTTGATTAAATGTCCAAAAAAAAAAAAAAAAAAAAAAAAAAAAAAAATACTAAAATTGAATTTGAAATAATTTTATGCAGATTAACAGAATTAGTTTTTAGAAATTGAATAAAAAAATAATGCTATTTTTTAATTGGCTATACAAAAAGAAGCTCAAACAAATAATCCAAATTTATGAATTAAATTTATGATTTTTGCTATGCATGCTCATCTTGGTTGTAATACTCACAATGCTTTGGCTGTTGTAAAGAAGTTGAAGTTATTAAAAGAATCCTTACAGTTTAGGTTGGAGGTTTAATAGTTTGGTCAATTTGACTGTACAACAAATCATATTGTTGCTATGATAATTGGTTGAGTTAAAATCATAACATCTTAGATGAATGAAAAATAACTAATATCTATCAAATATTTTTTTCCCAACTTGGTAGTGTAATGATTAAAATTATCCAATTTCATGAAGAAATACCTATTTAGCAATGCTTAAACTTTGTACCTGAAAAGAAAAAAAAAGTGTCAAAAAGACATATTCCCTTGACACTGCTATTACTGTATACACTTTTGACTCCTTCGACAAGGTTTAGCTAAAAGATTATAAAAATATGTGAACCAAGTACATTGCAATATTTATTATTTACCTTTTATAAAGAAATAAATTTGAAAAGAAATATTTTTATTAAAAAATTTATTAGAAATTACAAAATTATCAAAATATGTTAATATTTATATGCAGTATTTATTATTTACCATTTTATAAATAATTATGAAAATAAGTTTTTTCATTTATAATTTTATAAAAATATCAAGGAACTAGTGTTGTCAATTCTCAAGAATAAAAATGTATCCATCCATTTTCATGTTTGGGTCTTATTAAAATTCTAATTATTGTTTTTTTTAAAGGGTGTCAAAAATGTAGACAGTAATATTAGTGTCAAGGGAATAACCATTCTTTTCACACACTAATATTTTGCAAACAAAAGTTAAACATTGTCACCTATTTCATACTTAGTTACTCATGTCAAAATCAAACATGTAATGCAACTGATAAGCTGCTTTAGTAAACACAAAGTGTTTATAATTTGCTTTAGTAAACACAAAGTGTTTTTAAGATAAACTATTGTTACTTCATCAGAAATATTCTTTTAGACATGGAAGGAAATTGTGCCCAATATTGACAATTATCAAATTACCTGTCCACCTGTTTGCCACAAAAATCACTCTTGACTTTATCGATAACAGAAGATCTTGGTAACAACTTGGACTTGACCTTGCTCTCATCACTAACCACTACAACAATCAACCAATCTGGAATATTGTTATTCTTAAGAGCAGCATGCCATTCTGCCATATCTTCTTTCACAGACTGCTTGTAGTTATCCAAGTCCTGTAAAAAGAAAAACAAGAAAAAATATGTCTTTTTTTTTTTTTTTAATGTACCACTGAATAATGTAAAAAAAATACATCTCAAGAATTTACTTCTTGTACTGAGTATAGTACTGAAGTTTATATGCAGATGCATGCATACACATACAGGTATATATATATATATACACACACACAAGAAATCCTGATAAAATTTTCATATTTATGAAAAATATGTTAATTGTTATAGTAATATTTTTATTATAGTCATATTATATGACAAAAGAAATGTAAATTGGTGTTGAATAAATCAAATAAAATATGCTTACACATTCTGTCCAATATATATGAAAGAAAGGCCTGCTGATAAGTGTCTTTTCATTTTCAGTTGGTAATATATCGTCATCATAAGGAACAAAACTGACTTCAAGACGTACAAATTTGGCTGGCCTACCATAAGACCTGAAAATGAAGTGAAGTTTCAGATAATGACAGATTTAGAGAGTGTCTCTAAATAAAAGCTGATGGAAACAAAGGAAAATTATCAAGACAAAGTTTATCAGATGAATTTATTTTATAAAAAATTATAAATTTTTAATGTTAGTAACTATTTAAACTGAAGGTGGAATGAATTTAGTATATCTTAAATTAACTAAATTATCTATTTGAATGAATATCTGAAGAGTATAAACTTTTGATATAATTATTTTAAATGTCCCAGATATAAAAGATTGTCCAAAGTAAAAATAATGCATAGTAAAAGATTTTCTAAGGATATTAGAGAAAACTTTTCAGTGTTAAAATTTGGTTTTATTTTATGGCTTAATTCACCTCGTTGTTTATCTGTTTGGTTATAAACTGCAGGCAGAAATAGGCAGAAGTCTATTCACTAGTTAAAAATCCAACAGTAATGATTTTTTCAATGTAACTTTTCTAATTACAATTTGTGAAATATCCATACACTTATATATTATAATCACAAAACCTCTGAAAAATGTTTTCATAAAAAATTATCCAATTAGAAGGCAATATTTAAAGAACTATAGACATAACTAATATCTAACAAAGATTTTTTTTTTCACAACACCTCCAAGGTAGTTTAATGACAAAAATTAAAATTAGTTGTCCAATATCATAGAGGAATACCTATTACATACACAGTTACTCATTTAGGAAGTATTTTAAGAGATTTATTTAAAAAAAAGAGAAAGAAATGGATTTTTTAATTCTTCTATGAATATTCCACTTACCTTCTCCATTCAGTTGCCTCTTGTGGTAAACCACGGTTTATAAGTGGCTGAAGTCCAGAAAACAACGAGTTATCCCCATAACCTGAAAATAATATAAAATTAAAAATAGTGAAGGTTTTTTTCACCAATTATATCATCACTAGACACATTCTTTAGTTTACAATACATGATCTATTTTAGCGCCTTTAACTTTTATGGAAAGAATATTAAAACAGAGTTGATTTTCTTAAGTGTAATTATTTTTCTCATGAAGCAGTGGATTGTCTGTTTTAGCTTTCTTAAGAATTAAGTTTTAGGATCACAAAATTGAAGTGTTTGAACAACCTGTTCAGATAGTGACATTTTTACAATACAAACATTTTTAAATATCTGTAATAAACAAAACCTTTTCATTTTTACATACTGATTCTAACATTTCAACAATGCATTGTATCCCTCAAATTCTTTTTTTTTTTTAAGAGTAATTACACTACAGCCAGATAGTTTGCAGTTTGTATTGAACCAATTTTCTCAAAACAACAAATTGATTCTTGACAATCAGAACGAGTCCATTATTAAAAAATAGACTAGTTCTGATATTTATGCTGCATTTCGGGGGAAAAAATAAACGGAGAATAATAAAAATTAAATAAATAATAACAGCCTGACTACAAAAGAAAATACCCCAAAGCCAAAATATTGAAAAAAAAAATTTCCTTAAAAATAAAATGCATAAGAAAATCAGGCCTCCATTGTTGCACTAAGAAAGGCAAGTTCAGATGCACGTCACGATGTCTGCGGCAATATCCGAAGAAACCGGACAACTTCTATGTAACCTGCTATAAAATAGGACCTAGGATCGTGTGTTGTATCGGATAGAGCTCTCACATCATAACTAGTTGTCATTTCCACGAAATAAAAAATAAATGATGTGAGACAACAATAGAAACAAAAACAGAATTAAATATTTACTGTTCAATTATTAAATTCTTTAGATATCTTGTAAAATGACAATGATGTGGCAAAACTTAAAAGCAAAAAGGAAAGGTGATTTTACTCATGAAAATAACCAGGGAATGCTTTCGATCGAAGATCCAATAACTAAAAAAAATGTGTGGTACTTTAACTTTATATTTAAAATTTGATTGATTTTTGTTTTGTTTCTTTTAAACTGTAAATCTCTTAAAAATGTTTATGGTATCTAATCAATGTTGACAAAAAAGATAAATAAAAAAAAAGAAAGAAAAAACACTTAATTGAAAAAAAAAAGGTAATCAATCTTTATTCTTTAATAATCGGTGTTGTCGATTAAAAAAGGCATTACCAATTGGAGAAAAAAAACAAAACAAACTATTCACAACACTTGAATATATTAGCACCGAGAATGTTATCTGATACAACAAAAAATCCAAAGTTGTTTGATCTTATTTTTGATGAAATTATCGAAATGTTTTTAGTGTACATTTTTTAAAAAAATTTAATCGAATATTTTTTTTTATTAAAAAAAACAAAAAGTAACAAGTTGATTATTACTAAGTTTGATGCTGATATTTTTAGAATACTCACAGGTGACAACAGGTTTTGTTTCCATGGTGAAATACTGATACCTTAAAAAATGTGTATATACGAGAAATATTTACAGGTTCCCGGACGTGACAAAAAGATATTTGTCATTGTTCCAGTGAAAATTTACTGTCAGCCATTAAAATAATAAACAATTATAGTTATCTCCCTTGCATCATAAGTATTCAAGACCAACTTTTCGTATAATGTAATAAAGAAATCAATCTTTTGGAGATATGAATATTTTTTGTTTTGCTATATAATAGAGCGTATTTAGAAAACTTTTAAATTTTTTACTTGGTGTGTTTATATTATCTAATATTTGAAAGCTTAACAAACTACGAATAACTTGATACATGTAAATTAGCAGTAACAGCATGCTGTCGTGATGTTTGTTGTTGCTCGTAAGTAGAGTAGTCGTAAATTTGAATTCCTTTATTTTTTTCAGTCAACAATTTATTACATTACACCAAATATAATAATTACATAATTATATGCTTTCTTTTAATACATTTTTGTTAAAATTCCAAAACCCGTGTCTATAATAATTACATTGACATTTGACAATAATTGCCGTGCCGCACTTATGTATTTTCAAATTAAAAAAAATATTGATTTTTGTCTAATTTCTTGTAAAAGACAGTTTGATTTCGTTCTTTATAAAGTTATAGTTTTTTGTGTAGTACTTTTCCTTCGAAATGAGTTGTAAAAACACTAACAGAACAGTTTTTGTGATGAATAATTGCAATATTTTTGTTGTTGAATTATTTGATGACAAGTGTAACTTGATTTCCAATCATCCGTTTTACGGTTCAAGACCATAGAAGAGAAGATGCTGTTTTAGTTACTCGTTTCAGTTTTGTGCATCGAATAATTGCCAACAAACAACGGGTATTGATTGTCATCAATTCCCGTTGACAAGGAAAATTTGAAAAATCCTTATAAGAAGAACACGTCCAAAAAATAAATTTCATTATTAACAATTTTTTACTTAAATATTTGATTTGTCATTTGTTGATAAAGTTTTATTTCTTTTTTGCCTTGGTCAAGAGCTAAAAAAAAAAAAAAAATCAAAAAGTAAATTATACGATAACGATAATTTACTTTTTCATTTGATTCATTTATATTTTATAATTAAATTTTCTTAATTAAAATTTAAAGGAATTTCAATCTTTCTTAAACCTGAAATTGACTCGGGTATCCTGTTTTGAAGAGTTAAAATTTCACCTTTTCACTAAATAAGTAATGGAAATTCAAGTTAAAACTTTAAAATAAAAAAAATGTTATAAAATTGGCGAAACCGAAAACAGATGACTTGAAAATTCAACGTTTTTAGGAATATATCTAATTTCTTCTTAAAATTGAATTATACCCTTATTTTAGTTTATGTTTTTAATTCCAGATAAGCCTGTGTACATATTTGGAACATAAGAGAGCGTGTATATCTTTTTGTTGTAATTTGAAAAGACATTTCTAAAAATATTTTCTCAGAATAAACATATAATTTTCGATAAATTTTAAATGTAATTTTTATCCATATGTGTTATACACAGATTTTATTTCATTATTTATTAAGTTTTCGTTTTCTCTGCACCTTCTTCTTATTTGATTGTAATATTTTAATTTTTTTGAAGGCACAGTCCCACTTTTAGAATATTTAATAACATTATTATTTGAAACTAGAGAAAAAAATATTTTCATAATGAAAAATGTTTTCTTTTTTTGTAACAACTTGTAAACTTTCAAATAGCGATGTTTTTGTTTGAGAGTGAGTGTGAACGTACCAAAATTATTTTGCATGTCTGTTGCTTCATTAGTCAGTTTATTTTATTTTTAATTTATCTTGCAAAAGTTTCTTTTTACAGCTTTTCATAATCAATAGTTTTTTTCCCATTAGGATAAGAAGACATAAGAAAACAATAATAGTGAAATAATAATAGTTTTTCATAATCTAATTTAATTATGTTCAAAAAGGGCGACTGGAGTAATGGATAGCGACTCGGATTGAGGAATCGGAGAGCCGAGTTTGAATTCCAGTCGAATCTATTACAATTACATTCACTTACGTGCTAATAACCTTGGGAAAGGTATGAATTCTCTTCTTCTCACATCAGCTATGGGTAAATAGCAGGACAGACCGGGTTCTATAGCCTTGAATGGCAACTGGTGTACTGCAGAAAGAAATGGCAACCTACAGTGGGGAAAAAATCTGCCTCGTCAGTCATGTATCGAAAGATACATGATTGCCTAAGTGTGTATAACACATAGCACATTAACTGACTGACATACAAAAATATAAATTAAGTTATTGTAGTAATCAACTGGAAATTATATGGAGGTTCTGTTAAGTCTACTGCAAATAGTGTTCTTTTTTATTTTTTTTTCAATGCTTTCAACCTATGCAAGGTGGTAAAACCATTAAGATACAAAGGGTTACTGAGTGTGAAAGAAAAAGAGAAAGAGAATTATCATTAGGAGCAAGAAAAATAGAAGTGTAACCAAGAACACCATAAATAATGATTGATATTGCATTTAAATTTTAGACGATCAAAGTTGGCTGGAAAGCATGGGGCTGGAAGTGAGTTCCACAAGCAAGAAGTTTGAGAAAAGAAACTGTTAGCACAGAACTTACAATTGCATCTCAGCCAATTCATCTGTGAATTGATAAGACATTGCCGCCAATCTAGTGCTGTACTTAAATTTATAAAGGCTAGGTACCATAGCAAAGAAATTATCTGAACATTTACCATGAAAGTATTTATAGAAGAAGCACAGGGAAGCTACATTATGGCTGTAGGAAAGTGACTGAAGCCAAGATGTCATTTCAAAACCAATAATATTGCTGATTCTTTGTTTTTTATGAAGAATCTCTAAATAGAGAGCAGGAGCACCAGACCATTTATAGCAGCAATATTCAAGTCATGGACGAATGGTAGATTTATAAATATGTAAGATAGATTCTGAAGAGAAAAGTTTTCTAACACTGAACCAACTTTTTTAGCAGCAGATCTAGCAATGGATTCAATATAATCTTTCCACTTTATGTCAGCCAAAAATGTTAGACCAAGATAGCGCAACAAGTCACTCTCAGGGAGGTTAGTATCAGTCATGCTGATGGGAGGCAGGAAGAGGGGTCTCTCAGGTGATTAATAGAGAGGTTTTATTTTTGGAGGCATTAAAATTAACATGCCATTTCTTTCCTCAGTTAACAGCCTGTAGGTCATTTTTTTAGATCAGCTGTCAAATTTGACTGCATTGAACTGATCAAACTTACAATCAGCATAGTTAGCAAATTGAGAGCTGATGTCGTCAGAAGAATCATTAATGAAAATTAAAAACAAAGTAGGTCCAAAGATAGAGCTCTGGAGGACACCTGCATTCCTACAAGCTATAAAAATAGCTATTGAGGACAACTTTTATTTTGCGGTTTGATAATAAAAATTGAATCAGTTCAAAAATTTGTCCAGAAATGCCATAAGCTTGTGAAGAAGACTGGTATTCCAAACTCTGTCAAACACTTTTGAGATGTCTAAAGCAACAACCCAAGTTTCAGCAGTCTTATCTAAAGCTTGATAGACTCTTTCAGCAATAATTGTTAATGCATCAGCAGTTGAGCCAGAGAAGTGAAAGCCATATTGCTTGTTTGAAAAAAGGCCATGCAATGTGAAATACTTAACTATTTCAGAGTTGATTAGGGTCTCTAGTTTAATTAAAAAATAGAACTGTTATCCCATCTGTGCCAATTTATTGTCAACTTGCTCTTTATTTACACTATTTACATTGTTTAGACTGTTGTCCTCATCTTTATTGCCATATTCACAGCATTTTGGCTCTTATATGCCCTGGCCTTCTTCAGGTGATATACGTTGGAATTTTGAACAGAACCCTTGATTTAGTTCAGTGGTGTAGATTGTTCTACTTCCACATGCCATGCCTTTTCTGAATATCTGTTTCAGTTATTTCCCTTTAGTAACTCAACTTTCCAAGTTTTTGTTCATCTCTGCTGTGGCCACGTATTGAACTCACAACTCTTTGGGTCAAGTCATTGGATTACTTCAACGAATGCTTTTAACCACTTGGCCATTAGAACAATTTAACACAGTGAACTAAATAAATGGTTTGGTTTGAAATTCCAATGTATATCACCTGAAGAAGGTGGGAGCATACAACAGCTGAAATATTGTGAATATGACAATAAAGATGAGGACAACAGTCTGAATAATGTAAATAGTTACAATATCTCATCTCAGAAATACAGACAAACTTGCTCTTTATTTAAAATTTCCCTTTTTCAAAATGTTTAAAAATGTAATATATTTAATATATATATTTTAATAACATAAAACAATTTTTTTCTGTTTCACTTCAGGATAAAAGTATTTAGGAGTGTTTGAGAAGTTAAAAAATATAGACTTTGCAAATTGAAATCATAAAAACTGAAGTTATTCCTTTTTTAAAAAAATAAATAATAAAAGTTATTATTTAACTCTTCAGGTTGGTTTATATAAGACATAATGAATGACAAGAGACGCAAGTCTCGAATCCAAGGTGGATGGACTTCTGGTTCCAAGGGTCCTGCAAAAAAGATGCCCATTGGATCAAAACTGCACTCGACCATTTCAGATGGTTCAGTTCAGAATGAAGAGAAATGCACTGACACTCTATTTAAAAAGAAATTTGTATTTGAAGAACCTATTAAGGTAGATACATTCTGTGTTCATGTTTTTTCACTTATGCTCTGTATTTACTAAAAAAAAAAAGGATTCTTTTATTAATTTTCAGGATTTCTGCTAGATTATTGAATTTAAAATTTTTGTTTATTCTGACCATCTATTATCTAAAATTATACAATAGTAAACATGAAAAAAACATTTAGTTTTATTTAAATTAAAAAAAAGAATTAATTTGCATTGATATTCCAGCAAAATATATTGAAATAGATTGCTTGTATTTTTCACAAATTTGATTGTTTAAGGAAGAATTAACCTTTATCACTCTGTATGGGACTTTATCCTACCATTAAAGCTGACTGAATTTGAATTTCTTAGTTGTGTTGTCACATCCTGCTATGGCAACAAAAAACAACTGAGTGAAATTAAGGTTACAGCAATTAAGAAGCCATGAAAAAGAATGCAGTGGAAAGGAAAGTAATATTAAGAATGCAAAGTGCTAAAGGTTAAACGGAAAAATTTGTTGAATATGTGAAAAGGTGATAAGAAAAGTGTTAAAGATTATAAAAATTTGAAGTATTCTGATTTCTTAAAAATTTATTTTCAGGTAGAACGACATAAACCAGAGGAGAAAACTATTAAGTAAGAAGATTTTTATTTCTGAAGAAGAATAATATAAAAAAAAATATCTCATCCCAAATTTAGAAAAGTAGCATACTTTTCGTTTTTTGTTGACAATGTTAAGAATACCAATTTACATTGAAGTGGGAGAAGCACAACACTATTTTAAAATTTAGAAATATTGAACAAGTTGCAACGTAGTCCTGGGTATGACGATAAACTACATCCAGCAGCAAGGCCACTGATCAGCAAGTTTTGAGGAACATGGGACCACCTCTTAATTGCTGTCATTCTCAGGTCCACCCTGACCTGTTGTGGTAGCACCTGTTAGGGGTCCAGCTATGGGCAAATAGTTCTCCCCCTCCAAAAAAATCAACAGTACATTTTTAATATATAATATATAATGTTGATCATTTTATTAGATCAACATTATATTTTTATAGCAAAATGACAATCAATGCAACACTAAAAAAATATAAGCATAGTAAAATTACCAACAATACATTTTATCATCTACAAAAATATATCTAAAAAACATACGTTTATCTGAAAGTATAAAATTATGTACAAAATATCTGTAGTTGAAAGCGTGGGGTTGCATATAGAATATTTGGATTTTGGCATTAAATAACTCCTAGATGTGGATATACTGCCAAATCAACCAACCAACAAGCATGAAATAACTCTTTCATGACATTAGTCCATATAATATCCTACAATTTCTTAAATCAAATGGTATTCCAAAATATTCTGTTAGAGTCCCAGCTATGGACAAATAGTGCTCCCATCGCAACAAAACATCATGAATTTATAAAAATACATTTTTATAGTAAAAATATCAGCCATACACTTTTATATAAAAAAATTACCAACAATACATTTTATCTGTAGTTGAAGAAATACAATTGTGTTCAAAATGTATTCACTTGAAGTCATAAAATTGTGTTCAAATTATTTAGATTTCTGCATTAAATAACCCATAGAGATGTTGATATGCCACTAAACAAAATCAGCCAAACCAACCAACAAATTACAAAGGGAAAAAAGAAAAAGAAAAAATGATTTAATTTCTTCTGCCTTTCAACTTACAGGTATAGATGAAGGTTGGCAGAAATTGTTTACCATATTGGATAAACATTTCTATTAAATAATGATTTACACAGAATTTTCAACAGAAATACTGTAAACATTAGTTACAGTTGTATACCCAATATGGTGTGAATTATACAAAGGCTAAATGAGAAATGTTTGAATGGTAAACTACATAGTTATGTATTGTAACTATAAGAAATAAGGGAAAATTGCCCCTCAATGGACAATGTATGACTAATTATTTATAAAGCAGTGGTTAAATTTTAATGGTCTTCCCACTAAGCTATCAGTTCATCCAAATGTCAATTCAGACCACAATATTATAACCACAAGATGCATCATTTTTGTTTTTGGTGATAAAAGTGGTGAGTCATATATTTGGTTATTTTGTAATTGATTTCATTTTTTTTCTTTTTTGACAATTAGTGACATCTCATTTAAAAGATTATTTCCATTTACTGACACAGACATTGTTAATTCCATGATTCAATAGTATCAAGTATATATGTCACATGTTGACATTTTAAATTTTAGTTAACTATAACTATTTAACTTTTTTATTTTAATTTTTAATCAATTCACCTGAAGCAATTAATAGTAGATAGGTTTTCCTATCATCCAGTTCACACTCTTTCCTGGTCTTTCAAACAGGAGGAGAGGTTTATCCCTTGTTTCCTGTTTAGAATTGGGTTTCTGGTTCCTTCTAAAGTCTACTTCAGCTCTATACTCCTAATGCTCATCTTTTATGCTAATACAACTCCACACAGTAACATTCTACCTTGAGTAACTCTGTTATACCATAATACCTATTCTATTGTAATAGACTCTCCCACAGATAATAAGTAGTAGTAGCAGTCGCCAGTGGGGCTCAGTGGTGTTGAGTCAGTCAGTCGATGTCGGACATTGAAGTATCAACCATCACAACTAGATTGCTGCATCATTAACTCTTATTTCAAGTTCCTAACGTTTTGTACGTCGAACCTAATTTAGCACGACTTAGTGAAATACAAGCCTCCACTGTGAAAACTACTCTACAACAAACTCTTAGGCCTTTTATTGGGTGAAAATTAGTAAAAATAAAAAAAAAATAAGGGTAGGGGAAGAGAAAGAAAGCACTAGAAGGAACTGAAAACTTTTGTATATACTTTGCTTTGGAATAATTAATTTTGGGAGGATGTCATGAATAAATGCTTTTCTTTTTCAGAGAACATGGTATTCATGAAATTAGCACAAGTGCAAATGGGGTTTCAAGGTAAGTTCATAATTTTAGAAATATTTTAAAATTTGTGCAATGAAAAACAGTACCACAAACTTATAGAAAGTTTTCATTTCAATTTCTATTTCCAATCATTAACAGTTCCAGCTTTTATTTTCATATAAATCCTATAAATCTTAAAGAAGACAATCTTTTATCAGACCCTATAGACTGATCTCATAAAATCACTAAGAGCTTTACCAAATAATAGAAACCACATCACTTGAACACTTCTAACAACAGCAATAAAAAAAATTGGTAGCACATGTAACTAGAAGAGAAAATTATGTTATAATCAGACTATTAACTTTTCACATTAACGATAATAAAACGTTTGGAAGGACATTCCTATCACTATTAGAAAGAGCTCTAACATTTAGTCGACCTGAGAAGTTTCATTTCCTGAAAAACTGTTTTAATGAGACTTTGTAAATTTCAGTAATTAATTGATAATAATACTAATAACACTAACTGTTCTGTCAATGAATGCCGAACATTTCCTCTATGGAAATGGTTAATTTTACCGTTGACATTATTGTTAAAATATGCCAAAGATATTTTTTGAAGAAAGTAATGTGTAGAAATTCTTATACGCTTCCTTTATTAGCAATATTATTTTATAACAGGTTTTGTTTTTCTAAATCTAATTTAGCCTGTTGCACTCAGAAGGCAAATGCATTGCAGTCAGCTCCATTTTATTGAAACTGGGTCCAAAGGAAGTCATGAAAGTTTAATTTGTTTCATTGCAAATTAAACAATCTGAGTTTAAGATTTTTTTTCTTCTTCACAAAATACTGACAAAATAAAATCTTTTTTGTGTACATTTGTTTGTTTTTGATTTTGCAGAATCTGTTATTTCCCTGATTTCATTGAAAAGGAGAAGGCAGATGAAATCTTTAATATTCTCTATAAAGAATTACCATGGAAACAAAGGTCAGATGTTTGGCCAGATGGACGTACCTTTTTACAACCTAGATTAACTGCTTGGTATGGAGACTTACCCTACACTTACTCAGGACAAACACATCAACCAAATCCTAAGGTGTGTGTTAAAAATATTTTTCTGTAACATGTCTGTACTAGTATGTCTACTGGCATTTGCATTCATGATACTAGCTGATAGATCATCTGCTTACTATGGAAATTAGTAAATTAAATTTCTTGTTAGAGATTGTATCATGGCTGTAAATAAGAGTAAAGTACTGTTTTGGTAAACCAGTTTTTGAAATATCTATGATGAGCAATAAATTAAATTGGATAATAATTTTAAGGATGATGACTGCTTCTTGAAATAAAACCCCAAGTAGATGGCTATTAGTGTTGCTCATGATACTTTAAAATGCAAAGTAGAAGAAACTCAAACACAGCACTTGATAAATTTCAGAAGAGCTTGGGTCATTGCAAGATAACTTATGGAGTGTATTGCATAAACTTTAAAAACATATGGAAGATTAAAAAATAGAAACATAGTTTTGATACAGCATAATAAAATCTTAATATTAAAACAATAATCCAAACTAAGGGTTGAACTCTTATCCCAAATGAAAATCTTCAATTCATGTTGGACCTTTATCTACTTTTGTCATTTGAATTTGATAAAGTTTTAAACACTTAATTCATACCTACTCTTTCCACATTATAAAATTTGCATATTTATTAAAATTATTTTCTTCTATGTTTTGCAGTGGCATCCAATCTTACAGGAGATTCGAGAACATTTACAGAAATCTCTTGGTATTTATTTCAATTCTATGTTAGCCAATCTTTATAGAGATGGCCATGACAGTGTTGGGTGGCATACAGATAAGAATCCATCACTTGGAGAACAACCAACCATTGCATCACTTTCATTTGGTGACAGCAGAATGTTTGAACTTCGCAAGAATCCTCCTCTGGTAATTTTCTTTCTCATCAGATTTTCTTTTGTATCAAGAAACTTTTTTAGGCATTATGCTATTTTACTTTTTAAAATTAATCTAAGATTATTTCTAGATTGACTATATCTTGCTACAGAATAAGGTTGGTTCTGTCATAGCTTTTTTCATATTGTTTCATTAAAAACATTTTTTGCATCTAATTCTGGAATGAAGTTCTTATATATTGCATAATTGAAAAATTGTTGAATATTATGTAGAGTGATACTTACATCAATTGTTATAAGTTTAAAATGAAAGGTTGAGTCAGAAACAATCTCTTACTTATCTATAATCTACAATACATCAGCATTTTTCAATGTTTTAATCTTTTTTTAATATTGTTAATAAGTCTTGATTAAAGTTTGGAAAGCTGCCGCCCTGTTCCATTAAAGATGTAAATAGCTGCACATTTGGCTAACTGTTACTTATTATTTGTTTGCAATTTTCTATATGACAAATATTTCCCTTGTTATAATTTCATCTGTACAAAAAGAAATGTTACTTGGTGCTGGTTACATGGGTCATTATTATAAAAACATATCGTAATATACATGACAAATATATTCAGAAACATTAAATGCAAGAATTTATAATAAAACAATCTGTTAAGCTTCTCTCTCTCTTTATATATATATAACAAGATAAAATATGAAACTAATACAAGAAGCTGAAAAGTTCTTAGCCTGACCAAGAATCTCTTCCAAAAAATTCTGATGTATGGTTTGGTCATTGGATCATATATGGGTGTTGGGTCAGACTGAGAACTTTTCAGTACCCTTTAATATTGTTTTGCAGGAGGAAAATGGAGATTATACATATATGGAACATATTAAGGCCCCAGTAACACATGGGAGCCTGTTGACTATGGAAGGAGCTCTGCAACATGACTGGCAGGTGAGGTTGTCAAATGATCTCTCATTATTTAGAAATAAAAAAAAATACAATTGAAATAATGTCATTGGATATTTTACTCATTTCATATTAAGTACTGTCGATCATATATCAATGTTTTTTGGCTGAAGATATTACCAGATAATTGTTAGCTTGCTTCAGAATTACTATCCAGATATAACATTTTTGCAATGTTTGTTGTGAGCTTTTTTAAGTTAATTGAAACTAAAATGTAAAGGGAAAAAATAGATGGAAACACAAGTCTTAATCTTTTGAAAATTGAAAAGATATTTTGGAATCAGTTTTATGTGGGGTTGTGTAGAAAATAATTTTGTCTTTTCATAAATGTACTGTAAGTATATTAACATGAAATATAGTTAAGACAAATATTTTATCAGATTAATATATGAATATTATTCTCGTACCAATTTTTTAATGTCAAATTTGATTAAAGGAAAAATCAGTACAATTTTTAATGGTATAAATGAATTCAAAATTTTATTTTATTTTTAGGGTATATTTCTCTTAGCAATTTACATTCTGGTCAATTTTAATTTTTTATTGAAAATTTTTAGTTTCCTATATTCAAATGTAATTGATTATGTTGACAATATAATTAAATTTGAAAATAGGAATTTCTTAATTGAATGTATTTTAAAATAACATCTTGGAGATTCAAATCAGGAATAGTTTGGGGCTTAGTCCCATGTTCTGAAAATGAATGACTTAAATGAACTTTTCATGCTACTCAAACATGATGGAATTTTTTTTTATATATATTTCTTATTTTCATTTTAATGAGATAACAATGCCTGAATATTTTTATATTCACAATTATTTTGTAGCACTATAAAAACAAATATCAATAAACAGCTATAAAGGAATAAAGTTCTTTATGTACATGTAGTTAAGTATTTTTGTAAATTTTAGTAGTAATTACTATTGAAGTAAGGAAATTATATATTGCCAGTAGTGGGCAAAGGATTATATAGATATTTTTAAAGTGCTCTTTTTTTAATCAAATGATTGAAAGTACTTTTCTTTTGATCAAATGATTTTGGTGTTTGTGTTTATAGTGAAATTAGTTGAAGATAAAGAATACTTATGACATTTCAATCAACTAAATAAATAATTTTTTATGCCCTTATTTTGCAGCATCGAGTTCCTAAAGAATATCATGATCGTGGACCTCGGATCAATTTGACTTTCCGATTGACATTCCCAGAATAAAGAGTGAATACCATTGGCTTCTTTCAAAGGACTAATTATTTAATACTTGTTTGGGACTTTTGCCAGTGTTGTTTGCTGTTTTCTTTAAAATCTGTCAATTTTGGGAAAAAATTCTCCATTATAGGACAGTTCAAATATTTGATATAAAACTAGGAGAAAAACATTTTTCAATCTGAAGATTACATCTTTATATAAAGATAAAGTTAAACTGATCAATATTACCAACCATCTCTTAGGAAGGAGATGCCAAATTTTTCAGCATTAAAAGCTTAAATAAAATAATTTATATTCTTAAGAAGCAAAAACATGATTATGAATTTGTGTTTCTTTTATAATGATATATTTTTTGTTGAGATAACATTTATGCTGATTTTTTTTTAGTGTTGTACATAAAGTTTGCATTAAATTTTCTTGTTTTAATTCTTTCTGTCAAAAGAAATTGATTTAATATACTTTTCTTATTCTCCTCTTGATGTTATCCTTTTCTTTATTTGAGATGTCAAAAAAGCCTGAAAAAGGAAAATGACTGAAAACCTTGTAAAGCCTAATTATTATCTTACAAATGCTGACCCAAATCACTGTCTGTATAAGCATTTTAGAATAAATTAATCTATTTTGACATGTTATAAAAAACTTACCTTTTAGATTACATTTAACAGGATTTTTGAATTTTCAATTAAGAAATATTCGTTTGTATTTCAAGGCTTAAAGAAAGAATCAATTACTTATCTATATAGTATTCCTGTTAGATCAAAATTTGATACTAAATATTAAATTTTGATATTACACCTGGATTACAGACTAAAGTAAATAGAACATTTGAAAGTTTATGGTTGGTTCCTGAGAGAAAAAAAAATCTAAGATGAGTCCTAAAATGTAGATGATATCAGTTTTACAAGATTACAATAGTGAGGATCAAACTTACTATATAAGGAGTGGTCTGTGAAACCAATTTACTAAATCTCGCACTGTGCTGAATTCCATTTATAATAAACCAATATTTGGTTTTGTCTTCTACAGATTTATATATCAAATCATATTCTCTTAGTTTCAAAAGAAAGCAAATATAATTGTATACATAGTATGTGTTTTGTTTTCTGGTAAATGTATAATAATAGTTTAGATATAAATATAATTTATACATTAAGAACATGTTTTTATTTTAAAAGTATAACTGACAAAAGGTAACTAACAAGATTTGAACCAACACAATAAAACAATGTCATTATATATAAGTTGATTTTTTGATAGGCTCTTTATAGTTGGTAGCAGTTAAATTTATCAAGAAAATATTGATTTTAGAAGCTATTAAAAATACAATATACATTTTATAGTGATTATTAAAAGTAAAGATTGTCTGAAATATTTTTACATTTAACTAACAATGTAAAAAGAAATAAGCAAAGGTATGTCTTTTTGAATAATGCCACTTCAGATAAATGTTAATATTTAAACGTCAAAAAATCATGGAGACTGCAAATATTACCTATTTCTATGATTAGTGCTTAAGAATTAAAAGTTCTCTCTACTTCAATAAATAACAGCTCTCTTGAAGAATAAAAATGATATGGTGTTGATTTTTAGAATTTCATTTTAGACACACTAATCATAATCTGTGTAGGAAAGAAAAACTATCCAAATTTGTAATAAACATTTTTCATCCATAAACAAACACTTATTTTTATAGTTTCCTCTTGCATAAGAAACACTTTCTTTACATAATTTTAATGAATGTAAACTTTAACATTAAGAAGTATAAAACTGCTGTTATATATCAATAAAATTTATGTTCACATATAGTCAGCAGTTGAATTTAAATGTAAGGAATATAGAATTTTTATTATAAAAATCAAAGATTGTGATTTACAGGGGCTTTTCATAAGCAAAATGCTTTTATCCGTGTCTCAAAAAGATTTCTTTCAGGCTCTCAATGTATGCAAAACATTGAGGACCAGAATTACCTCCCTTAGTATTATTAAAAACCTTTTATATTGAATATGAAATATTTTAAATGTTCACGCTAATGTATATTCTGAAAATTTTGTCTATTTTTAATTACATATTTTAAAAGTGGGAAAACCACCAAATGTTGTCCACTTATGAATAGGAACTCAAATATCTTTGAGGCAAAGATATTATCTTTTATGATGGAATACTATAACAGAAGGTAAAAGTATTTTTCCATTCTAACAAGAGGGTTTTAATAGATTTAAAGGACTCAATTTTTATTTTTAATGAAATGCCACATTAAAATTAATTCCTGTCCTCTATCAGATGTGCAAAGAAAACTGACAAAAAAAAAAAAAACTATAAAAATCAAGGAAATGCTTCAACTAATTTGTAAGATTATTAAAAAAAAATCTTTATTAAAGAATATTTACATCATTTGAATGTTGATTAAAATTTTGAAATCAGTTTATAAGTTTTAGGATATTTGTTTTAATGACAAGCATGGAAGTTATGATTAATGTGCGTATGATTTATTGCTGTTTTATGATTAGATGAAATGCAAACTTTTCAGCTGAACAAGGCAGAATAAAATATACATAAATAATGTACATGAAATATTTTGATATACAAAAATAAATGCTCCATTTATTCTAGTTTTGCACGCTTTTTGGCAATTTCAGACTCTGTGCCAAACTGGTAATAATGAGGGGCCAATTCATACAACCACTGAGGGTCAATAACTGTGATATCTCGCATATAATCTTTGGAAGTTTGCACAACTTCATTAAAAATTACCCAATTGGGAGGTTTTTCTGTGTATAGCACTGAAGTTGGGTGGATAGCCAACTTGTGCCCATCTCTCACTGTACGATAAGTTCCATCATGATGCATACGTGCAGCATTTGCAAAAAACCCTGCAGTGATGCATCTCTGTAGTGTTTGCACATTCTCAGCACATGACACAAGTGGCACTTTATATTTTTTTAGCATTTGCTTTAGTTGATCCCGAATGTTGACTGCTCGTCGTAGCCCTTTCACATTTATGTAGTTTTCAGCACACCATCGTGCACTCTGGTCATATTTTAAGAATGCGTTATAGACATTGACCATCGTCACGTGATCACCTTCCTTCACACTGAATTTTGTCCTTGCTCTTTCAGCAGCTCTTTTTTCATTGCTTGGCGAAATGAATACATTTTGTATTTGCATCATTGCTGCAACAGTCAGAGCTTCCTCTGAACATTGAAACTCTCCAGAGATGAGAAGCATTTTAGCAAACATTGGAGGCACTGGAAATTCAACCATATTCATTCCTAGTGGGGATGTCAACTGACTGTCATAATCAAGGGCTCCCAATGCAAATAGTAATTCCAGACTTCGTACCATATTCATAGCAGGGGGAGCAGATAAGAAATTAAAACGCAGAACATTGTTCACCCCAAGAGCTTTCAACTGTAAAACTACAGGGGAGAGATCACTGCGTTGCATCTCTGGAATCGTAGCAGGAAGTAGTTTTCCATACTCTTTTTCAGTATACAACCTGTATGCCCTCCCTGCACGTACTCGTCCTGCCCTTCCAGCACGTTGATCAGCTGATGCTTGGGATATAGGCACAGTAACTAAAGATTCAATTCCAGTGTTGGAGTTGTATGCACGCAGCTTTACAAAGCCACAGTCCACTACAAAGACTATGCCATTAATAGTAACTGAAGCTTCAGCAATATTTGTTGCAATGACAATCTTTCGTGTGGTAGTAGCTGTTCTTTCAAAGACTTTCATCTGTTCAGATGCTGGCAGACTTCCATACATTCTCAAAACCTTCATTTTTATTTTTGCATTCTTACCAAGTTTACGGGCTTCTTGAATTAGTTGTTGTGTAACAGTTTCCACTTCTTCCTGACCTGTAAGAAAAGCCAAAATGTCACCATTGGGTTCATTATGGTGAATTTTCAAAATTGTCTCTGTTGTTGCTTTGACATAATTGGGTAACGGGTCAAGAGAATAATGAATATCAACAGGAAATGATCTTCCTTCAATTGTTATGATAGCAGCAGTGTCCAGTTGAATGTTGTCTGTTTTATTTGTATTGAAAAATGTTTTTATTTCTTCTGCATCAAGAGTTGCTGAAGCAACAATGATTCTTAAATCTTTCCTCTTGACCATTATCTTCTTGAGAAGGCCTATTAAAATATCAGTGTGCAGAGTTCGTTCATGAGCTTCATCCAACATGATGACACTATATTTAGACAAGAGTGGGTCAGACATGATCTCTCGCACTAGCATGCCATCTGTGAGGAACTTTACTGCAGTTGTCTTTGGATCAGTGCAATCATCAAATCTAACATGGTATCCAATCTAGCAATAAAAGAAAAAAAAAACATTCTTTGGTTAAATTTTTGAAATGAGGAATTATCATTGTTTTACACTAATTTACTCAGACAAAATGTCCTTGTCTTGGTCATGAGTCATGTTTCAGCTGTATCCTCCAGTCTTTTTTCAGGTATCTCTTGTAGTTGGTAACCTGAGAATTTGGAACTGAACACTTTATTCAATCTACAGAAATAGACAGTTCTCATTCTGTTGTTGATACTAGAGGATATCTTGTATCATTTAATTCTTCTTAGCTGTCCATGTGATGTCACTTTTCTGTTCCCTTGAAATAGTGTATGACTTTTTACATTACCCTACCCAAGGATTGAACGCAGGACCACCAAGTTACTATATTCACTTAACCACATTATCCAGTGGATAAAAGTGTTGGTTAAGTGTATCTAGTTTCCTGGTAGTTCCGAGTTCAATCCCTAGATTGGACAATGCACAAAGTTATATACACAACCAAAATAAGAATACGAATAATAATAGTGTTATGCTATTAAATTAGCATATAATTTGTTCTTCTTCAATTTTTGAATAAGCAGATAGAAATACACATAAATAATAAAGTAATAATTATAAAAAAAAATGTTAAGCAACTTGAGCATTTATTGGAAGTATATAAATAAATACAATGTTTTTCTGTTTCTCAAAATTATGCTATCTCTACTTGGCATAATTATCTGTACAATTGTCTAATGACTTTAGACATATTAAATTTTTATAATTTCAAACAGATTTGGGGACAACTAAACCATAGCATTAAAATTACAATATTTATAACATTTTAAAGTCACACAGGTCTTTAAAATTGTTTTTATTTATTAATTTGAATGATTACAAGTTTTCAAATGAAGGCTTAATCCAGTGCAATGGAAAATGCATTGAGGTGCAAATTTATTCAGAAAAATTCTTATAGGAGAGAGCATAGAAATAAATACTATATAGGAGCTATTAATAAAGGAAGAGAAATGGCAGCAGAGATAGCCAGTAAATGTTTTAGCAGTGGCAGCAGTAAGAAAAAAGCTGTAGATGAAGATGGTCAAGCATACAGCAGGCAGGCAATAAGAACATTAGGTATAAAACTCCCAGTTCTAGAATTGGGATTGTCCCATGAAACAATAGCCTAGTGGATTAAAGGGTTGGTTTGTGAATTTGGTGGCATAGTAATTTTGATTTCAATTCTTTGACCGAGTAGAATAGACAATGGAAACAAGCAGTAATACTAAAAAGAGAACAATATGAAATAATGGTTCTTATCAGACTGTTGGGAAATGAGAACAATTTACTCCCATAAATTAAATAAAGGGTTCTGTTTGAAATTCCATAAAGGTTAATCAGGCTGATGGAGCCCTGAAGAAAGCTGGGGAGAACAAAAGCTGAAACATAAAAGATGACATTACACTGAATATAAATAGTGTTATGCTATTTTTACTACAGGCATATATTTTGGGCAAAAATGTACATCAAGCTGATATAAAACTAGAAATTCCATCATTCATATATTCAAAGGAGTCAGAAGCTAGATTCATTCTTTTAAAGTCTCTTAAGTCAAAGTGTAACAATCTGTGCAAAGAGAAGATCACAATTCACAAGGATATTTGAATTGTGTCATTCATATTTTAAAAGGGAACATCCAAAAAATGTTTTCACCAAAAAGACATAAAATACATAAATATTAAGATCTCTGAAAATGTCTTCAATATTTGCTTTGACTTCATAGTAAGTAATTTAATTCACTCATTTTCATTCTATCATTTTTTTTTATTACTGAAAATGAATAATTCTGTGTCAATTTAAAAAAATATGTTATCATATTCTTGATTGCAAGCTCTGTATTTTAAATCTGTTTTGCTATGATGAAACCTGCTGTTGAGTCAGATGCCCATTTCAAATGAGGTAAGTTTTTATAATGTTGCTGTTTTATGCACGCTCACATGAACTCGCATAAAAGTAAGGGCTTTGCTGTTACTTAAAAAAGATCTACTACTAGTTTTTATTTAACTTTAAAACTCTGTACAAAAATAAATTATTTGTTAATGTTAATTCAATTCTTCAATTCTCAATTGTCTACAAAATCAACTTCATTAAAAAATGAATACATATCTAATTGCATTCATTGATTGATATTTCAGTTCACTTTAATGATAAATATGACAGACATAGCTTCTTGTTTTGGATAATTTCGTTATAACTATTTTTGTTATACATAGATTACTCACACTGTAACCTAACAAAAACAGACAAAACATTGTAAATCCAAGTAAAATGCAAAGAAATAGTATTTGCATTGTGTTATCATCATTAGCAGAATGAGAGACTTTTTATTTGTATGACTAACTTAGTCTAATATTTTTGGATTCCTTAAATTTGATATTTTTAATGCTTGATGAACAATTATGAACTGACACACTATTTTGAAATATCATTCATTTGCTTTTTAAAATTCATTTTTTGGAGTAAAACATTCCCATACTGCTGTATAAATCTGAACTTTATTTCAAATTCTACTTTCACGATTAACTTACACGGTGGGAGGCAGAAAAGTGTTTGGTTTCCTAATTTCGCAAAATCAGACCAAATATAATTTTAAAAAAATCTTTTTTTGAAGTCTTCTTGGTTGTGCTAATTACTTTTTCACTGAAATATCTATCCGACCTCCACGTAGTTATCGACCTTTAACTTGGAAGCGTAATTACGCTATTAGTAATAAAATGTAATGATTGCCAATTCAAATGGCAGAAAGTACGATTTTCTTTTTCTTTTTTTACTCGTACGTTTTCTAAAATAAAATAAGATAATGAGGTTTTCTTTATTTATTATAAAATGAGATTTTTCAAATCTGACACTGAAAAAGGTATTATTACCTCATCACCTAGTAAGGTACCACGTTCTTCAGCTACTCGTGTAGCTAAAGATACAGCAGCCACTCGGCGTGGTTGACAAACACCGATCACATGTCCCTGGCTGGCCCATCCTGCTTCAAGTAAATATTGGGGTATCTGTGTACTTTTTCCAGAGCCTGTATGTCCTATCACTACTAAAGTTGGATAGTTCTCCACCAAGTAAAGGAGATGCGTCCGCACGGAGAAAACGGGCAATTTTTGTCGTTGCTGCTGGATGGATAGAGATGCATACGGATTAAATATAGCGTATTGTTCCCCAGAATCTGATGTTCGTTCTTCTTCTAATTTAAGTCTTGGATCTTCGTCCCCTGGACGCCAAAATTTTGCCCGGAATGACGTCATTTTCAAACAAGAGTTAAATGAACAATGGCTTCAATAATACAAATTATCCATTTAAAATCAAAGAGAACTTATTTGATACAACACCGACTAAGGGCTGGCGGTGAGAAACCAACAGAAGACTGCACTGTAAAAAATATACCCGGACTAATGATACTAATAAATTCACTTCTAACAGATGAATGCAACTCGGTTCAAAACACAAGTATATCAATTAAATTTAATTTTTTTTCATAATTATTTTTTTTCTTTATGAAGATGCATTAACATATCGCTTAAGAAAAAAAAAAAAAAAAAAAAAATGGTATACATTTTAAAGTAATTTCATGGTAATAAGATCAAATTCAAAATTACATTTCATTTGCAAATTTTGCATTAAAATAAAATTAAGTGTCAAAACCATTGTGCTATTATAATTATAAAGTATTTTAAAACCGAGGAACGAAATAGCTGTGTACTTTTGTTGCCTCCCAAAAAGTTTTGTTTGAGATTATATAAAATAAAAAAAATCAATTTCTATTATTTGAAATTATTTTTCCCTTTAGTGTGGAAAAGTCACGAATCCCGATGACATCTAGTAAAACGTGCTTCCCACTTAATATTGAAAACCCAAAATTGTGTGTGCATCATCACGATCCATTGAAACCTGCTGGAAGTCATCATCTGTTTCAGTTTTTAAGAACTCTGGCGAACCGTCCGACCCATCGAACTATCGAACTATTAGCCTTCTACCTATTTTGGGGAAACTCCTAGAGCCTCTAATCAATGCTAAATTGGTTCATTATCTTTCATCACAGGGCCTTTTTTCAGACAAGCAATATGGTTTTCGTTTCTCAACTGCTGATGTACCGATGATAATTGCGGAAAGAGTCTATCATGCTCTAGATAAAAACGGTGAAGCGCGGGTTGTAGCATTGGCCATCTCGAAAGCCATTTTTTATACTTCGTCGCAATTAGATCCCATTCTGCACGCTGACCGGATGTAACCCCACGAAGGCAGAAGACAACAGAAGTCGTTTTCTGCGTATTGGGCTCCACGCACCACTTATATTTTGTGAGTTTTTATCCAATGGGAAAGGAAGTTGCGAATAGATAATATTAAATTTGTGATTCATTTCGGAGCCGATGTGTAGCTATATAAGATGTTTGGCTTGTCAGACAGAAAGAAGGGCCTTGACTTTCATAGGCGAAAGTCGTTGGAAGTTTCTGGGAACTGAACTTGGCAGAAAATAGAAGGGTTTTGGCATTCACGAGGACGACGTCTGCTGGTTCTGGGATCTGAACAAATGAAAAACTAAAAGTCGATGACTACGACGACAACGAAAAGAAAGAAGCTGAAAGAAAAAGAAAGTAACAGAAGGAAAAGAAATAAAAGCTGAAAGGAGAAATTTCTATTTAGAGCAATATACGATTATCTTTTATAGTTTTTAAGTTTGTCGCAATATTAGAGGTATTAACCCTGATTTTTATGTTGATTTATCTGTTATTTACACCTATATATTCCTTAACTTAATGGTTTTTGCTGCTTAATGCAAATAACCAATTTACTTATTTGCATATTTAGTTATGAAAATCAAATTAAAAAGTAACTTTTTGTTAATTCCCAATCGGCTTTTGTGATATTTATACATAAGCGATTGTTTTTATGATCTTTATTTTACAAATATTTTTATAGGCTTTTATTTCATAAGTAAGCAATAATTTTTGTGAAATAAGCGATTCTTTCGTTGATGGCTTTTATAATTAAACCATTTTCTTCTTTGAAAGTAATAGCCATCATAACATTTACATCGCAACTTGGGGGTAAAGAGAAGTAAGCAACTTATAAATATAAGTAAGCAGTATTATCATATTATGAAAACGAAAAGTAAACTTGTACATCAGGAAGAGTCAGTTGAGGTTTCTGGGTAAATAATGACTAAGTAGGGTTCGGAAAATCTGATACTAACGGGAAAGATAAAGGGTAAGAAAAGCAGAGGAAAACAACGCATAATATACTTAGTGAGCTGGAGTAAATGGATGGCGGAACAGGGCTTAGGAGAAATAACAGAAATACAAAGTTTATTAAGAGCTACAAAGGACAAGAAGTCTTCGAGAGCCATGGTCGCCTACGTCCTGAGGAGCCATGGCACATAAAGAAAAAAGTATATTTTGAAAAGCTAACAAATATTATACATGTTGCGAGCCAGTTATGCGTATCCCAACTTGTTGCGGACGTCAGTAACGTCGGTGTTTGAAATTGGGAATAATTTTCTCCTGAAATACTCACAACAAAATGGCGGACTCGGGATGTGAGACCACGTAAATAAAACCAAGAAATAACAAGAGCCAATATATATGTATAAACAAATGGTTTTAGCTTTCCGCATCAATGTCGATTTTCGTGCAAAAAGTGGATCACAGCTTCATACATGTTTCTGAAAACCTTAACTTCTCATTGGACAATAAATATTAAAATTATCTCGTGTATCTTCACGTACATTGTTTTCAATAAGCAACACAAAACATATCAGGCTCCAGACTGAGTTTTGTAAGGCGCTTTCTGAGTGGTTAACAAATATTAAAAAAATAATTTACCTGCTCACCACTACGTCGGAATAACATCAACCTAGTTTTTGACCTGACGAAAAAACAATGCTCTCAGAATCCTGTCACGTGATTAAGAAAGATATAAATTGAAGGTACGAGCGAACCCAGTCAGTGAGAATTTACGACGACTAGCATTCTAAACGAGTTCACGACACTTGTATCATTACTGCAGCGTAGTACAAAGTTAGAATCTCAAGTTCTTTAACACGAAATAACTTCGCTGTAATTCAAGCTAAAATATCAACCAAACATCTCACTCACCAACTTCTGCAACTTACTAAAACTATTTAATCACGTTATTGAATCTTACGAAACTTAAGTACGAACAATACATTCAACTACGAGCAACGAAAACAAACGGAACATTCACTTCTCCAACTTCTTTAAAGCTAAAAGTTTATCAACATATTTCCAGCTTTACAAGATTCTTTAAAATCTCTTTCAGTGAAGATTTTGAGCGACAAGATAATTCAGCTTTTTGTGAGCTCAGGTAAAAATATATTTTAGTAGTAAAGACTTTAGTCCAGTCAAAGGGAAGTAACTCATATTAATAGTGTAAAACTGTTGTCATTTATAAATATAAATATTGTACCTGTTATGAAAAGTTATTTTCTTGTGTTCTTTCTCTTGTTTGCTTTTTGTTTGCTTACACATTCGTAAAGTAAAAAAAAGTGCGGGTTGATTTATGCCGTCAATACCACTACATGGTAATGTATTAACAAGAAAGGTATACAAAGACAAAAATATGTGTAACAAAAGAATGTGAAAACCATTTGGGTTCAAAGTATGTGAAGTGGATGAATGTGCGTACGTACGTCTGTTGTATATGTCTGTTTAGATCATGCATTTCACAAAGGGAATCGCGTTTTCCGCCAGAGATTTGCATGTTGACGAATGTAAGAAGAAGCTACGAAAAATTATCGCAGAGTATTTATAGTCCGGAGAGCGTCCCCTAGGAGCACTAAAAGATTATGATTAGCAAATATAGTTTTTATTGAATAACAATATTTCCTAACTGCTACGAATTAATACAGACTTTTAAAAGATTTTATATATTATTATAAAAAAAAAAAAATGAAAATAATTCTTGTAAAAATTAATTATTTATCAATTTTTTTAAGTGCCTATAATATATTTTATTCATAAAAGTAATTAAAAGCTTTTTTAATTTCTTAGTTTTATTGCTTTTTTATTTTACGATTCAGAGCAAATTTTCTCTAACTGGAAGTTACAGTTGATTTAAATTCTCCAAAAACTTGTCCTTATAACTAATATAAACATTTAAGCGTTACAAAAATGAGTTTCTCAAAATTTTATAAACTTAAATAAGTAGGAGGTAACAGATGTAAAAAGAAATATTTTTTTTACCAAGAGTTTCTAAAAAAAAGGCTCTAAAATAATTTAATTAATTTCTGAATAATTTCTGAAAATTTCATTAAAATCCGACAATTATCTGGATTTTGTCAGAAGATTTTCACTGCAAAAGGCCCTCAAATTTTTTATATTAATTCATCGTCATTTGTTGACACAAAAAAACAAAAAAAACATTTTAACCGAAATTTCGACGGTTCTAAACAGGATTACAAAAAAAAAATTTAGTAATAAAAATTCCGTTGGTCTTCCATCTTAATAATAACATAAATTTTTTTACCATAAAGCTTTGTTTTTATTACGTTTGAGACATTGCTTCATAATGTATGTTCATTTCTTAGCTAATCCTTGGAGGCACGTACTATGAAGGATTGATACACGATGTTTGAAAACATTAAGTTAAGTGTCTAAGATTGTAATTACTAGTTAGAAACAATAATGTATTTAAAGCAGCACTAAAGGACTATTATAAGTACAACAAATTATAAGTTCTTATTGTTATCAATAAAATATAAAATTTATTAAGAAAAAGCAAAATGAAATATGTTTGAAAAATTAAAATAGAAATTACTTACAAAATTCTATATTTTCATAAAAATGAATCAGCAGCAACTTGGAAGGAAATGGGTACCAAATATTTGTGCTAAGAAAACTAATGACGAAAACCGTTCGTATTCATAATTATCTTTTGGGTGTACAGTGTAGCGAGTTTATATTCTTTTTATGAGGAGCTATAAGCTCTTGGTACATTTGTTGACCCGCTAACAATTTTGGTAGACTCGTATAAATCCAAAGGAAAAACATAGAATTTGAATAAAGAAATGTTAACAAATATATTGTCAGGACATTTTACAAAAGAAAAGATAAGAAATGAAATGAAATGTGAAAAGTTCAAAACAACTTTAAGTGTCTGTAGTTGATTACTAACATTTTACATGAGCGAAAAGCATACGCCTTTTCGCTATAAAAAGACACCGAGAAAAAGATTGAATCTTTCGAATCTCGCGCCGCCTGTAAATCGTCAATGAGCGATAATTTCAAAA